TATTCCTACCACCAGTGAGGAACTATTACTAATTTATATTAATATTCTTGCCATGAATATATTTGACATAGTTATGATCTCTGTAACATTTTACACAAATGTGTAAAAATAACTTTTTCTTATTACACAATGTGCCTAATAACTGGATAAATACTGGAAAGATTTCTTTCCATACTGAGAATAAAACCCACCAAATAATAATCACCAAACAATTTATTGTGTAGAATTCTTGTGAATGCCATTAGTTAATATAAACAGTGTTGAATTATTCTTTCTGGCAATAGTTGAGTTCAAAAATTTTTTTTTAATTGTCATTAACTTAAAGGATATTCAAAAGATAGAAATTTCAGCATATCACTAATTCTGAAATCCGTTGACACCAACATCTTAATCTTAAAAGCAGGCTAAAATGTTAAATCAGGATTTTGCCACTTTTCTAAAAATATTCTAGAAACTTCAGTGGTTTTGGTTTGTGGAGTAAAAAATATGTTCGAGGGTTATGTACCTTAATATCCTTTCATCTCAAATTATAATGGATTAGTTCTTCATTTGAGGAACAAGCAAAGAAGACATTAAATTAAAAAGGAACACATTTCCAGTGTGCTAGACTGGCACTGAAGATTCTGAATAAATATTAGATGTTGAATATTTCCTTTGTCATATTTGTGGCTGACCCCAGGAGGGCTTGAAAACAAGTGAAGCTGGGGTGTGGCTGGAAGATGGAGAAAGATGTTGTAAGACATTCTACCATCTCCACTTCCCCAGAAAAGAGTATGGATGAAAAATACAGCCTTTTGGATGTGAACTATTGTAATTCCCCATGCTTCTCCTGTTGACACTTTATGCCCCCCAGGGCTCCCCACTTCCTGGTATTCACCTCCTTCTGGTACCCCTCCCAGTGTGGGTGGGACACGTGACTCCCTTCTGACGGGTGAAATAGGAAATGTCCCAATGTGATTAGAAGTCATAAGATGGCCAACAGTCGTATGAGTCTGAAAGGCCCTCCTTCAACCCACAAGTCTTCCAGAGAAACCCCAGTGCTGCCCGATACCCAGGCTGCAGCCTGATGAAGCTCCGAATCGCAGAGCACACGGGGGCCATGCCTGACCCACAGAAACTGTGAGATCATAGAGACTCAATCTCAGGAAACAAACTGAGGGTTGCTGGGGGGGCGGTGAGGTGGGAGGGATGGTGTGGCTGGGTGACGGACACTGGGGAGGGTATGTGCTATGGTGAGCACTGGGTATTGTGTAAGACTAATGAATCACAGACCTGTACCCCTGAAAAAAATAATACATTATATGTTAATAATAAAAAAAAAATGTGTCCTGTTTAGAGCCTCGATTTGTGTGACTCTGGTATGCAGAAATAGATGACTAATACACCTATTTACACAGTGATTCACCCGGAGTGAGTCAGAAACTCCTTATGAAATTAAGTGGTCAGCAGGCCTCTTCAAATCCACTCTCCATTTCCATTAGCTTTTTCCCTCTCTGCAAGTGTCACTTCCAGAAACAGAAGATGACAAGACATATCATTGTTGTCTAAAGGGGTACCAGCATGTGCATGTGAACATGAACAGAACAAATGAACAGAAGCTTTGGCGAAATGGACCTCACAGGGGTCGGGGCCCGAAACTGCAGGGCCAGGCCGCCAGGGTTCCTGAGGTGACTTGGAGGAGAACTTTAGTGTTTAGGCTGCTTCTTCTGTCTTCGGGAGGCCCTTGGCTTCCTGCTCCTTAGGTCACTGGGGCCACATTCAGTGTCACTTCTGCCTTCCAGACAGGATGCTCCCTTCGGCATCCCCAGAAGACTCCTACTCACATTCACCTCAGATCTGGGTCACACACCTCCCTTCTAATGAGTCCGGAACAAAGTGAGGGGTTTTCACTGGGTACTCTGTTGCCTTGAACAGGTGGAAGGAGGAAGGATGGACATGGGGTAGACGTCCTAGCAAAGTTCTGCCACTTAAAGCTTTGTTCTCGCAGAAAGAACCGCGGAAAGACAGGAAAAAGGAAGAGAGGAAATAAAAAGAGCAGAAACTAAAGACATGGAAAACAAGCTATAAATGGGGATTCATCAAAGCCAAATGGGAAGGTGAATTTTTAAAATGACTAATAAAATAGATTCATTTCCAGCAAGACTGACACAAGATAATGAGTAAAAATGATGAGTTTTAAAGTCATGCATATAACATAATCCAAATCAGGTTAAAATAATAAAAAGAGATACATCAAAAGGTAACAGAGAGAGCACCTTCTTTATGTACTCTTAGGTATTTTCTATAGGTTTTTTTTTTAATTAGTGATCATAAGATGGCTTTTATAAAGAGAAGAAAATATTGTTTGAAAGTTGCACATAATAAAATGTGTTTTATTTAAGTTATTTTTACTATCAGCTTCCAAATCAAAGATGGCTTAAAGGTCTAAGTTCAAAACAATTGACATGTTCTAATTGGTTTTTTTTAAAGATTTTATTTATTTATTTGACAGAGAGAGACACAGCGAGAGAGGGAACACAAGCAGGGGGAGTGGGAGAGGGAGAAGCAGGCTTCCCGCAGAGCAGGAAGCCCGATGCGGGGCTCGATCCCAGGACCCCGGGATCATGACCTGAGCAGAAGGCAGACGCTTACTGACTGAGCCACCCAGGTGCCCCAGTGTGTTCTAATTGTTATTAATACAGTGATGTTGGTAATGTCACAGAATCAGAAGATGTGCAAGATAGTCCCTACCCCTTAGGGACTGCCTTCTCAGCGGAATATTCTGCTTTTCCTCTGATAAATCGTTTAGAGAACACATAGCATTTGTTTCAAATGCCTGGTAGGTAGTCCTGTTAAGTATTACACGAGAGTAGAGCCCAAGGTTCTGCTTACATTCTTTTTCCTCTGAGAGTTTTGGACTGAAAGGTTTGGGGGAAGAATCGAAAAATCAGAATGTAGCAGATTATTTCCTTGATGGTGGGCTGTCATCTGATTCATTTGTGCATCCCGCCCACCCATGCTGTGCTGTAAAAAAGCTTGCACTTACAAATAAAACCAAGGGAACTCATAGCACCAACTTCGATATGGATGGGCCTGGATTTCTGGTGACACCTACCAGCTGTGTGACACTGGGTATTTCTGAAATGGACAGTGAGAAGTTCGTTAGGTTCTATTGATATAACAGGAGAAAATATACATGAAGTTGCTTAGCACAGTGCCTAGGCATAGAACACACTCAAAAAGTGTTAATGAACATTTATTATTATTATTATTATTATTTAGAGAGGTTAGTGTCTTGGAAAAGAGGGAAGAAGACCGTATAAAGGGGCACATGGGGAGAAACTGGGCCCCGAGGCAGCTCAGAACGGTAGGACCTCCTATTCCTGCCAGAGTTGGCCCCACAGGGAGTAGACTGGATGCTGAAGAAGGGCACATACATCCCTCCACCAAAAACAAAGCCTCCTTTCCTCAGGAAATTTGCTGGAAAATTGTTGAAATAAATATAGAAATCCATGATAACTACGGAAGTGAATGATGATCCCCAAAGTTGTACAATGCCCAACGTGCAGAACTGTACAGGGCAGCCCTGAACTGGACCCACCAGATGGCTCTATCCTGGTTTCAGTCTCTTACGTTGCTGCCATTTATTTTAGGTTTCCTGGTGGGCCCCTTTAAATTCTTTCTAGCTCAAGGCAGGGTACGCATATAAAGACATTATAAAACCTGTAGAAGAAGTTTGAAACACAAGCCATACCAAAAGGCAAAGAATTGGAACTGAAGGAAAGACTGGTCAGTCCCACCTTCTCTCCCACTTCTCGTCCACTATATCTTCCTGTGAGAGCACAGTGTCTGTATATCAAGACATACTGCAGATGAGTGTGGTCCCAAATGGGGCTAAATGCCTTGTAACTATCAATCAGGAGTAAATTAGCTCCTTCTTCGTGCAGGGGGCTAGCTAACATCTGAAACTCATTACCCCTAGAGGTTGGTTTGGTTTGCAGATACAAGCATGTTTAAGAAAGGTTGGTTTCAGGCAGGCTGCGTACTAGCAGTTAAAGTTACAACCCAGAGTCAGGCCCAGAAGGTGACGCCACCAGGTTCTGCTAAGTGTTCTGTTCCCTTATGACTCCTACTTTTTTCCTGCCGGCCCTCTACTGCTTGGCCGGACTTGGACCCTACATCCCGGGCTTCTGCCTGTCCCACCTGAAGGCCGCCTCACCAGGACAGGGACAGGACCGTGGCTGGTGGCTGACTGTGGGGTGCAGCAAGTCCTGGGGGCAAACGGAGCAGGCTTTGCCATGTGACATCGGGAGACAGTTCACAGGTTGGGGGGGGGGTCCTGCGGCTGTGGGTAGGCTGGGGCAGGTGGTGGGAGCAGCTGAGAGTTCCTGCAGGAGGTAATGGCCTCGGGCCCTATTAGGAGGGAATCTGTAGCCACGTGGAGCCGGAGACTAGAAAACAGGCCTTCCAGGGTGGACATCGGCACAGAGGAATTGAGAAAGGTTCCCAGGGTCTCAGAAGGGCCGCTGTCCTGGGGCCCCAGGTTAGAGCAAATCAAGATCCGGCCCTGCTGCACCCCACAGGTCATGCAGTAAAGACTTGGGCAGGGAGGACAGATTTCAGAACCTGCCAATTAGGGCAGGGCTGGGAAGCCAGGGCTTAATTCCAGAAACAAGGCCAAGCAGAGGTACTGAAATGTAGCACGTGACCAGAGGACTGGGTAATGTGCTCAGTAGGTTTTGGACAACTTTGCTTTAGACACCTCCCAACCAATCCCTGAGACAGATAAGGCAGAGGTGGTCCCCCCGGGGGTGGGGGGTGGTCACAGGCGATGAGCCTGAGCTGCAGGTATCTTTCTCCATGCTCCTCTGCCCCAGCCCACTCCCTTCTCTGACCCGATTTGGGGCCCCAGCAGGGGAGCTCTGACCCGCTCCTCACTCCTCTCTCTGCTGGATTAATGAGTCTTTTTTTTTTTTTTTTTTTTTTTAAGATTTTACTGATTTATCAGAGAGAGAGAGAGCACAAGCAGGGGGAGTGGAAGGCAGAGGGAGAAGCTGGCTCCCTGCTGAGCAAGGAGCCCGATGCGGGGCTTGATCCCAGGACTCTGGGATCATGACCTGAGCCAAAGGCAGATGCCCAACGACTGAGCCCCCAGGCGCCCCTGGACTAATGATTCTGGACACTGACTCTCGCTCAGCTCACCAGAGAGCTCAGGAGAAACACGCCAGGTCCCTTCCCTTGACAGTTGAGGTGAATCCACGTGCTGTGATGTGTCATTGAAGAGAAGCTGGGCATTTCTGGGAGCTTTTGCCTCCCCTGTTCCTATGAGTGTTACAGCATTCTCTTAGGTTGTCTCCCGCTGTTGCTCCCAGTTTTCACATCGTTAGTGACAGAGAAGACGGATTCTCCCAACGTCTTTCTCTTTTCATTTCCTCTGCCCCCCACGCCAAGCCCCACTCCCTCCATACCCCCTTACCCCAACCCGGGAACTGAACTCAGAACTCGGTCCCTTCCCTGCATCCTTCAGCATCACTTTGTCTTTCACGTACCATGTGCCATGTACATGCACTCTGTCCATTTTGAAATCGTGGGTTTGAACTTCTCTTACCTCCTCCACAATTTAGCACTTTGTTCTCTCAGTCATTGTTTCCCTAATAATTTGTTGGGGTTTCACAGGGCCTTGAGGGCCTTACATAATCGCTTCTACCGCAGACTCTGGGACCAGAATATATTTGCTAAATCAAGTTCCCCACTTCCATTCACTTACTTCCCAGGTAAGAACTTTATGCCTCCAACAAATACTTTTCTTCTTGTTTGAAGACCTCTTTTTACAGATTTTCGAATGCCTTAAGTCTTTTAAACCTCTGCACCTTATATAATTAAGCCTTTAAAGAGCTTATCTTCTCAACAAAACTTTGGCTTGAGCATGGCTAAAACAGTTACAGAATCAACTGGAAAGGGAAAAAAAAAATCTTGATCTAACACTAAAGCCTTTCCATTCTGCAAGGTGAAATCCTTTGACCTAGATCTGTCCCTTAAAAGGCAAGTGACTGTAAGAAATTCTAAGATTTTCTTAGACTTTAAAGAGCATTGGTAAATATTGATATAAAAAGTCAGGTTCATTAGCCACTTTTATTTGATTTTCCTGAAAACCTGCCAGACAGAAAGTTCTCATTTTTATCCACCTTCATTGTTACCCCCAGAGCAGCTCTCTCCATGGCAACTGAAAACTTCTCTGGGTTGAAATAATCCTCTCCAGCTTCCAGTGCACAGTCAAGGAATTTTAAAAACAGAGGACTTTGTAACCACAAAATACTCTCCGAGATTTAAAAGGCCACGGAGCTCCAGATAAATAATCAGTTATCTTTCTTCTAACGGTAAGCACCACATTTAGAAACGTTTGTCTCATCTTCTGTCATTTTTTAAATGCTAACATAAGAATCTTAAACTCTCTCTCTCTTTTCTTAACTGTAAAAGTAATCCCAATATCTCTGTTACTACCCCCACAGTCACCATTAGCTCATCTCTGTGCCAAGATCTGACATGAGATGCTGTTAACATTTTGCATTCCTTGAGCAATCGGTTGAAGAGATTAATTTTTTTGCAGAAAGCTGATTGGCTCTCAAGTTGTCCTTCATGCCTTTAGGGACCATTGAGTATGTGGATTTATCATGGCTCTTGTGATCTTGAAACACTAGGGCTTTTCTGCTAGTTCGTCCTGGTAATAAACAAAAAACTAAAAAATGAGTGTTTTCTGGGCATGACTGTTTTCTTCTAGTGTCCTTCCTTAACTAAAACTGTCTCGTTCCATGTGATATGGGTAATTTATTGAAATGTATTTTCTGTTTATTTTCATCTACTTACTTGAGCGATGAGGACCACCCAGCCCTGGGAGTTCTACTTTAGGATGGGATAAAAAGAGAGTATTTCCTGCCTGGGTCCTAGACTGGTACCACCTTGCAGGATGAACAGAGAAACTTCTTCTTCCTAATTCTGCTCCTCTAGTGAGTTTAGAGAGAGGCAACCCCACAAACTTCTTGGCTGTTCTATAGTTTGCAAAGTCCACAGCCCTGAGCGCAATCCCACAAACTTCTTGGCTGTTCTATAGTTTGCAAAGTCCACAGCCCTGAGCGTTGCCTGCTGTTTGTGGTTATAAATGACCTACAGACGCCCCGCTGTTCAGAACCCGCTTGCCATTGCAAATCAGCTTAGCCACCCCATTAATGAATCCTTTCAAACACGGTGCAGGCACAATAATTAAAGCCTTTCCTTTTCCCCTTTACTGCAGAAAGTCCTCTGATTACAAGCTGACACCGACAGCAAGCCACCCAACTCCATCGCACACCGACTGGAGGTAAAGGAAGGGTGGAAATGGGCTTCTGGACAAAGCTTCCAGTATTGGGGGTGCCGTTGTTCCTTGTCCTCGGCCTTGTTCCCGCTACTGAGATGGAAAGACCCTCCACCCAGGATAGCGGCGGCACCTGGAGCCCCGGCCACCTGATGGAAGTACTACGAGCTCTGTCTGCTGGTGACCCCCCACCCCTGAACCATTCGCGAAGCCTCATCGAAACCTTGCTGGAGAAAACTGGCTGCCCACGGAGGACAAACAGAATGCAAGGAGGCTGCAGTCTGGTTAGTGCAATAGGATATGGGATCAGGTACCAGGGCGGGTTCAAAAAACAGTGATGGCTTCTCTAGCCCTTTACTTCAGCGAAGCAAACTGGAAATGCAGTTCCCGCGGGGGCGGGGCGGTGCCGTGTAATACGCCCACCGCTAGGGTACCGCCAGTCACTCAGCGTCCTCCGTAGAGCAATTCCAAACAGGGAGAATTTTCAGTGACTAAAATGGCAATGTTTAGGGACGCTTTTCTGCAACCCTCCAGCATGTGGGGAGGTATCTAGTTGCAAGTGTGAACTTTCAGTTCTTTGTGTGTGTGTGGTTGCGGAGCACTTGTGCATCACTGGTTAGATGCTGTTTGTTTTCGGGAGCAGAATGATAGTGATAGGATATTTGTCTAGCATTGAGTTTTTTTTAAGTACTTTATCCTGGTGTTTTCTAGTATGTTGCATGGTGGGTCGTTCATGAATTGGATAATCATCCTCTTAAAAATGACACATCTGGGCGCCTGGGTGGCTCAGTTGGTTGAGCGACTGCCTTCGGCTCAGGTCATGATCCTGGAGTCCCGGGATCGAGTCCCGCATCGGGCTCCCTGCTTGGCAGGGAGTCTGCTTCTCCCTCTGACCCTCCTCCCTCTCATGCTCTCTCTCATTCTCTCTCTCAAATAAAAATAAATAAAAATAAAATCTTTAAAAAAAAAAAAAGACACATCTGAGGGGCGCCTGCGTGGCACCTTCCGTTAAGCCTCCGTTTCCTGGTTTCAGCTCAGGTTGCAATCTCAGAGTCATAGGATCGAGTCCCGCGTCAGGCTCTGCGCTGAGTGCGAATCTGCTTGAGGTTCTCTCTCCCTCTCCCTCTGTCCTTCCTGCTTGTGCTCTCTCTCTCTCTCAAATAAATAAATAAATCTTTGAAAAAGAATGACACATCTGGTCTGGGGGAGCTAAAATGAGGCCTGTGGCTGGTGGGCCCGACTCCCAGCTTTGCCCTGGTCTGCCCGGCGACTCTCAAACCCTGTCCACACCTCAGCATTGCCTGGGCAGCTTTCACCGAATACCACATTCCGGCTTCTTTCTCCCTCCATAGAAGAGATTTAACTTGCCTGGGATGGAATTTTTAAAAAATCCTCCGCATGGGCGCCTGGGTGGCTCAGTTGGTTAAGCGACTGCCTTCGGCTCAGGTCATGATCCTGGAGTCCCGGGATCGAGTCCCGCATCGGGCTCTCTGCTCGGCAGGGAGTCTGCTTCTCCCTCTGACCCTCCCCCCTCTCGTGTGCTCTCTCTCTCTCTCTCATTCTGTCTCAAATAAATAAATAAAATCTTTAAAAAAATAAAAAATCATCCACAGACCGCTTTCATGTAAAATCCACATTAACATAAAGTCAGCATCTAACCTAAAATCAGAAAGTCTCCATGGGTGGGGAGGCATGGGGGGACTACCAGAGGCAGGAGCCCATATTGTCAGAGGAGAGCAAACAAGAACAAGCAAAAACACTATTCACCAACCCTTTCCTGATTCAGAGACTTTTTCAGAAATAAATAAATAAATAAATGAAGACATAAATAAATAAGCAAGCAAATAACTGCCTCCAGCAAAAAAAAAAAAAGAAAAAAGAAAAAAATTGGCAGACTTTCTCAATCATGCTTAGTTCTAGAGGAAACATTTCCTGGCCAAGTGTTTTGTTTTTTGTTTTTTTGTGGGGTTGTTTTTTTTGTTTGTTTTTGTTTTTCATGACAGAAGGGTCTTACTAATAGAATTTTTTCTCTGCTCTGTGCAAACAATAAATAATTCGATAATTAGTGAAATTCCCAAAGGCTCCCAGAGAAAACATGTGTTATAATAGGCAACTCATCTGTAATGACATTAATTTATATATATAGCAACATAAGACTTCCCCATGGAACTAACTCGGAGTCATATCTTATTAATGTCCTCTGAGAATTTGCTTCAGGGAAATGTTCTCCTCTGATGACATCAAGTGCCTTATTAAGGCCGGTTGAATATTAGTCTAGCTAGGGCCAATGTAAACATGCAAAATTATTCTGTTTTTTTTTTGGGCGGGGGGCGAGGTTGTTTTGCACTTTTTTGTTTTCCGTGACATTATCAAGCATTTGGCCAATTTAGCTTCTGTTTGAGCTATTTCTTTTCCCAGGAAGTGAAACACTTGTCTTTAATAGCCCTCTTGTTGCTGCTATTTCTCAGTGGAAAAGACTGAGGTTAAAAAGAAGGGGGGGGGGGGCAAATTTCCACTTGACCTGCTCAGAGGGCTTCACTTCACCTGAGTCCCCCATAAGCGAGGATCCCACGAAATCTCTCCTTGTCATTCGTAAAAAAGCCAAGGAGAAACAGTGTCCTATTGGTTTGACAAACAACTGCATTCTAGCCCAAACCACAGCTCTTCTGCTGATTGTTAAATCTCTTATGTCTTTTTAGGGACTTTGTCCATTTAGAGGCAGGGTTTGTGTTAGAAATTCTGTGGTAAATAAACTCTTTTTTTTTTTTTTTTTTTAAAGGAAATTCTGTAGTAAAAAGAGGGCAAGGGGGTAAGTTCATATCCCTAAATGTCTGGGGAAAAAAGAGGGAAGTGGGTGTTTTAAATTCGTGGGGAGAAAAAGTGTTCCCAATTTTATTTCAGGTTTAGGTAAAAACTGAATGAGTGTGTGTGTGTGTGTGTGTGTGTGTGTTTAAATCAATCTGCAGTATCTGAAAGCACTGTGCATTTAAAAATTAATCCATTCAAGCTTTAGCCTTCGAAAATGGGTAGTCTTGGCCTTTTTTTCTTTTTTTAATAAGAAGGGTTAGAATGGAGTTTTAATGAATTTAATGAGGGATTAAGTAACTCTAAGAGAATAAATTCCACTTCAGTTATGGTGGGAACCATGACCCTACATGGGTTCCAGACGTGGTGAAGGGATAAGAACCCAGTGTCTGGGGTCAGCCAGCACTGGGCCCAAATCCTTGCTCTGGTACCTTCTAGTTGTTAGGACATGTTGAACCTCAGCTCCCTCATCCATAAGACCCCAGTGCTAGTTCTCTCCTCAGGGAGCTGCGTGTGAGGACCACATGGCCATGTGTGAACAAGCTGGGGCACAACAGCTCAAGCTCTCTGTCCCCTCACATTTCCTGTACATCATGGACGTGACCAACCCCTTTTCCCAGGGACCCTGGGGCGGTGCTGCTGAGAAATGAGATATTCCTCAGCATCCCCCTCCAGCCCCATCCCCAGACTCCCTGCTCCTCACTCTCCCAGGGGCTTGGGGGTTTTTATCCAAGATCTCTAGAAGATTCTCAGACACCTTCAAGGTAGAGAACCACTGCTTTAAGGTCCTGCATTTAATTCAAACCCCCCCTTGTCATTTCTGTCACAGGATAAACAGGGGACAGCTCAAACTTTATCTTAACTTGTTGATCTAACAGGTTTTTCTTATCTCAGGAAGACTTATCTCTGTCCGTCGGAAATGCCACAGAATCTGCTATAGACCCACAAAAAGCCAGTGCCTGCCATTAGCCAACATCCTTCCAACTCTTGGTTTGGCAGGGAAAGGAAGAAACATAATTTCCTTCTTATAGTCAATTATAAAACCCCCCCAAAAAAAGACCTTATAAAAACCTAAGAACTTGAATAAGGCCAGTGGATTTGTCCATAACCCAAAAGCGAATTTAAACATCTTTGGATCTAAAATCTTTAAAGATTATCTACAAGGGTGACAGTTGCCCTATTAACGCAGAAGAAAGATTTCCTACTGTTTTTTGTCACTGGGGCTCTCCTAGCATTAGCGGTGAATGAAACTGAATGAGGCAGCTGGGGAAGGCGATCTAGGAATCCAGAATCTGTGCCCCCCCCAAAAAAATCTTATGCCTCCACCTGACAAGATTAAAGGGAAAATCGATGGATTATTCCTGAATGAGTCCCTTCTTCTTTAACAAAGAATCACTTCACCAGAGTTAACGCCTTGGATGGATCTCGATACCTAGGGGGTGGAAGTATTTGCCAAATTGTGCTAGACATCCTCTCCCAAACACAACCCAAGCCACTGCTAAAAGCTCTAGCCACTGAAACAAATCTAGTGATGATGAATTGGAAAGTCCAGTCCCCCACCCACCCACATAGTGCTTTCTGTCCTGTCAATGTCTGTTAGTTCTGATGTTCCTGACGGTAGACTTTCCTCAAGCCACTGCCTTCCATACAAAGGTAACTTCTTATGAGTCAAATATCATTAAAAGGCAGAAAGTTTTCAGCCCATGGTCATTGATTCCCAACTGAGCTTTATTCAAGCAAGCCTCAGAAAATTGAAGCAAGGTTTAGCTAACTTCTGTCCATTCAAGAGGAAAGAAGTCTCTCGTCCTTCAAAATGAGATGCTCAGCAACTATTTAAACATTTTCAGTCAGAAATCAATTTACCTTCCATGTTCTATGCTTTTCACAAAACGTTTCTTACCTTGTTTTCCGCTGCTCCAGGCCACATCCCTCCTATTCCAATCCTAGTGAGGTACATTGAAAAGGAACCACAAATGGAGAGGGGTCTCAGGCACCTCGGATGGGATGAAGGGTGGCCACGTTCTCTGCTGTGTGCTGTCAACCAAACCCTGGCCACATGTGCCTGGTCTGGTGACCTCGTGGAAGTCCCATTTCTTGTCTCACTGGCACTTTTTTCCGACCTACCCAGCCCTCCTCAAACAACCTGAACAGCACTTGACAGTTTGTCAGCAGGAACTCATTCAATCTTCTCATTGTACGATGTTCTCATTGATTTATATTCGAGCCTTACCCATTCCTTGGTCTCCTTTTTTTTTTTTAATTTTATTTATTTGAGAGAGAGAATGAGCACAAGCAGGGGAAGGAGCAGAGGGAGAGGGAGAAGCAGGCTCCCCAGTGAGCAAGGAACCTGATATGGAGCTTGATCCCAGGACCCTGGGATCATGACCTGAGCTGAAGGCAGACACTCAACCGACTGAGCCACCCAGGTGCCCCCAATCCCTTGGTCTCCTAATTGATCTCTTTTCCTATCAAACAAGAGGGAGAGAAAATTACTGGTTGAAGGGGCTGCACATTAAGTATATCGGTGGGTCTACAGCTTACGTTCTTCGTGGCACAAAACAAAGGAATAAGAGAATAAAACCTATCATTTGCAGAGGAGGAATTAAGATTGGGCAAGCACTATTAGCTTTGTGACCTTAGGTACATTACTTACCCTTTCTTTGACTTGGTTTTCACATATGCTATAGATATACCTTCCTTATAGAAGGAAGACATAACTCATGCTGGATTCTGTGCATTATCCTTGCATACTGCACAGAAATGTACCCATTATTCACTATACATTAAATAATTGGGTTATTGGTATTCTTAGTGCTTAACAGTACGCAGAAATATTTGGTGGGTTATCAAATAAGCTGAGGACATTTTGTTTTTCCATTTAAAATAATGGAATAATATTCTTACCATCAAAAAATTCATTATCTGACTTTTTTTCCAGAACCAATTAGATTTGTTTTTTTAGAAGATTTTATCTATTTATTTGACAGAGAGAGAGCACAAGCTGGGGGGAGAGGCAGAGGGAGAGGGAGAAGCAGACTCCCCGCTTAGAGGGATCCTGATAGGGGGCTGGATCCCAGGACCCTGGGATCATGATCTGAGCTGAAGGCAGACGCTTAACTGACTGAGCCACCCAGGCATCCCACAAATTAGATTTATGTACTGAGGAATGCTTGAATACCTAAGGTGCTTAGCACTGTCCTGGGCACATGGCTTCCAATAAAGGATAGCTGATATTACCAATAGTTTGGTTTCAGGAGGTTATATGTTATTACAAAGAATGGCTTGATTACACTTTTGTTTCAACTGATTCACCTCCTTGAGTCTTGGCATCAGTCCTGCCAACAGCTACCAACCCATGAACTTTTCTTGTGGGCTAACCAAGAAACAGAAAAGGGCTGGGTTGGTTTTGGTGGTGGAGCTTAATAGTCACGTTGAGTTGGTCTTGTTGGGAAGCCTGTTTGCTGAGTTCTTATCCCAGTGCAGTTGAGTTGGGGAGAGAACGGAATCTGTATGGCTTGTGAAGAATGTGATGAATGCTTTGCTTTAGAGACAGATGACATGTTTCTTCCTGACTCAGACGGTACGGCCCAGATGTTAGTCAGTGGGACGCACAGCACATGGAATTAGGACGCCTGAAGCTTCCACCTCAGAGAATAGATTAAAAGATATTCTAGTAAATTGTCCCGCAGTGGGAAAAAAATCCCTTTGGGGGGCTCGGGACAGGCATCCCTCCATGCCTTCACTCTGAGGCTGAGGCTGTGCAGTGGGCTGCTTCTGGGATCCTAGGAGAATTCTTAGGAGCACCTCACTGTCTTTGAAGCAAGGCAGCTCCTGTCTTGTCAGAAGAGCTTCCGTTCCACAACCCTGTGTGTATCTTTTTTCTCATTGTCCCATCACGTTACCCAAAACACCTTCTGCCACGTAAACTTCCCAGATGAGCCGAGCCAGGCGTCGGGGCCGTGGGTGTGAAACAAAGAAAGCATCGTGGAGGTATTTTTAGCAATTATCTTAGGTAGGGTAAAGGCAAGGCAGATGGCGTTCATTCATTCCATTTCACGCCTCAGAAGTGCTAGGCATTGTGCTCGATGCCAAGGATAGAACTGCGCACAGACAAAACTTGATCCTAATGGACCACTTGTTCTCAAGGGAAGAGAGAAAATAAACATGGAGAGCAAGCAATTTTAGAATACTAGTGCCACGAAGAAAATAAACCTGCCTTATGCCGGAGCTGCCCCTAGCCCCTTGTGACTGTTGGGCACTTGATACGTGGCTCGTCTGAACTGAGACACACTGGGAAGTGCAAAGTACACACCAGATTTTGAAGACTTAGCCTGACAAAAAGAATGTCAAATAGCTCCTAAATAATTTTTAAAAATTTTGATGACATATCAAAGTGATCCTATCTGGCATATATGTTTCAATAAGGTACATTATTAGATAAGTTATTAAAATTAATTTCACTTTCTAAAATGTGGCTCCTGGAAAATTTAAAGTGATGTGTGGCTTATCTCTGTGGCTGGGGTCCTGTTTCCATTGAACAGCGCCATACTGGAGAACATGGGGCAGGGGTTGGGACGTCCGACTTTGGATAGGGTGTTTGGGAAGGCATCCCCGAGGGGGTGTCACTTTAAGCTAGATCTGAGAAATGAGGGGAAAGAAGACCTGAAAGGTGGTGGGAAGGAGCTTGGTGGGACTGATGGAAAATCACAGGGGCAGAAAGTTAAAGAGAGGCGGGGAGAGGCTAAGGTAAGGTAAGGGAGGGGGTAGTCAAGAACCAGACCACTGAGAAAATTGTGTAGAGCTTGGATTTCATTCTAAATGCAATGGGGCATTCCTTTAAAAAGCCAAAGAGTCTACTGGTTTTACTCCAGGCAGCAAATGGACAACTGGAGCTAGAAGGACTATTCTCAGGGAATAAGGGCTCCGCAGGAGGGCATCACTGATGTATAAAAGTCCAACCTGAACTCTCTTATTAGAAGCTGACTACTGGGGCTGCCCGCATTCCCCTGGTATTCATAAAATAATAAGCAGGGGAGGACCGGTGGTCGTTAGTGTTCTAGGACTATTTGCTAAGCTTTGTTTCTCCTTGTGTGTTATTTTGTGTTTTTGGAACAGTGCTTTGAACCAGATGCCCTGTTACTAATAGCTGGAGGAGATTTTGAGGAGCAGCTCCGAGAGGAAGTGGTCCAGAGGGTTTCTCTTCTCCTCCTCTATTACATTATTCATCAGGAAGAGATCTGTTCTTCCAAGCTCAACATGAGTAATAAAGAGTATAAATTTTACCTACACAGCCTCCTCAGCCTCAGGCAGGACGAAAACTCCTATTTCCTTTCACAGAACGAGACAGAAGACATCTTGACACTCACCAGGCTGTACTTTGACACTTCTAGAAGCCAGGTAAGAAGGCCCAAGGTGCCAACTGGCTGTGCTGCTAAGATACAGTCTCCGAGCCTTGTTCCCTGTCACTTATTTATCCCTAGGACAGCCAAGGACTTTTAAGAGAGGTATTTGTGAGTTTTAGTTATGGGATGTTAAGTGATGTCATTTAAAACTCTGAGTATAAAAGGGGGAGATGGGATGACTAATTATTGTAAAATGAGTTCCAGCCAGAAGGTGGGTGGGTGGGTGGGCAGGAAAGCCAGTTGATGGGGCAACTCTCTTCTCCTGAACATGAAAGTGAGTGAGTCACAGCTCCTGATCAGTCTCCAAGGACTGACCCACATAGGGGAGGGCATCGTGCCTGTTTGCCTTGCCGTCTGGCCAGAGAAAAAGAAGGCGGGACCATTTGAGAGCGAGGAATTTATCATTAGTTACTCCACCGGAGAAACAGCTTGCTAAAAGCATTATTCATGACCGTCAGCACGGACAATATCCCTTCTGCAGCTTTTGATTCGTGCTGCTTCAGTTCAAGGGGTCTCTGGAAGTGGTTTTCTCTCCTCAGGGCTCCCACTGTGAGGAACCAGGCGTCTGGTCTCTTCTGGCCTTCCTTACTGTTCCAGCAAAAGCTAGCCTTTCAATTACCTTTATTAACTTTGCAGTGGGAAGTCTGAGCGGATAAAGTGCTCTGAACATTAAAAAAATAAGTTTTTTAAGCCACATTTTCTTAAAGAATCGAGCAGCCACCCATGCATTTTGAAGAGTGTTGTGAGTCATTTTTTTTTCTCTTGAATTTTTCATTGACATGTGTCTCTGAGCTGCTGTAACAAAAATACCATAGACTGAGTGGCTTCTACACAATAGAAATTTCTTCCTCACAGTTCTGGAGTCGGGTGAGAGCCCCCCCCCATCCTGGTTTACAAGAGACTATCTCCCCACATGGTAGAAGGGATAGAGGAGTGCTCTGGGATCTCTCTTATAAGGGCACCAATCACATTCATGACAGCTTCACCCTCATGACCCAATCACCTCCCAAACGCCCCACCTCGTAATACCATCACAGTAGGTGGTAGGATTTCAACGTATCAGTTTGGATGGGGGGACACAAACATTCAGTCTATAGTGATGTGTATAGGTGTATTTGATTTTTGACCTCAATTCTGGCTCCTGGGAGCCCCGAGGTATCTGTGCGATCATGCTGTGGCCTAATGACCAGCAAACACATCCTCCAATTTGCCGTAAAAGCGTTTAATTTCTCTCGTGATTGGCACACAGATGGAAAGACTGTTTCCGAAGGACTGTGTGGGCATCACTCTGGTAACTCTCATCTCATGAATCTCAAAATAGGGCCATATTTTTGTTTCCACTTCCAATTGAGAAAATGGGTTCCTTTCTAGAATTCAGTTTCTGCTTAAATAAGGAAAGAGGCCCACATATAATTTCTTCGGTGCAACATCTATATGATACAAGATTGGTTCAAATTAGCCACTAGGATTTTAGTCATCCCATCTGTTACTGCCTTTTGATGCAGATTAAGTGGGAATGAGAACCCAGCACTCAAAAGCAGATGGTGTGTATATGTTCAACGCAGATTTCTGGTTATCCAACACATACTGCAAATACCTGGGCTTCCAAGTGTACGTGAGATTAAACATTCCTAGAGCAGAATAAAATAATTCAATATTATGGGTAGGCCTACTTTCTCCATCTATTCATTCAAGAAGAATTAAGAGCTCTTGTTGGGTTGTAACCCTTGCTAGGCCTTAGACCAGTTGTCTCCTGGAGGATGGCACCGTCATCCTTTAGCCCATTTATTTGGGCTAGAATTCCCTTAGGAATCCTTAGTCAGTCAATCCAGACTTTTACAGGAGGCCACTTGGCCTCTCACTGGAGGATGCTGCTCTTTCCGACTAGAGAGTGTGAGGTCAGAGAAGGTGCTGGTAGACCAGGCCCACCACCACCAGCATCTCTAGGTCTTGGTCTGCACAGGATTCAGCTTCCATAGGTGAAGCCACTAAGAGCTGCTCCAGGTAGGCCTTCACCAGCTCAACAGAAACAGCTCTACGCCAGAGTACCCTAATCCAGCCACCCTCCCTGTCGGTGCAGAATGTACATATCCCTCCATTCCTTCATTTTCTTTTGTCCAACTATTGTTTAGCTCCTTGACTCAATCTCTTGCTCCCAGCACTCTCTGCTCTTTCCACTGTTGGCTATTACCATGATAAATAAACAGGGATCAGTATAGACTTCTCCACTAACCCTGACTCTTATATGGAGGAATAGTGGATGGTATTACTGTCCTACAGTTGATAAACCCAGAAACCTGAGCCATTTTTAACTCTTCAGACTCCTTCACATTTTCTTCCAAGTCCTTTGTAATATTCCTCAAATATATCCACTTCTTTCCATCTCTAGTGCTACCATCTGAGGTCAAGAAATACCTTGGGTTAATCAATAACTTCTTTTATTTTTTTTATCTTTAATAATTATTTTTTTATGATTTTATTTATTTTTCTTTTTTTTTATTATGTTAGTCACCATACATTACATCATTAGTTTTTGATGTAGTGTTCCATGATTCATTGTTTGCATATAACACCCAGTGCTCCATGCAGAACACACCTTTAATCAATAACTTCTTAACTACACTCCTGCTTTTAAATTCTAGCCCTGGCAGTTTATTCACTACTTTGCCACCAGAGCGATATATTTCTATAACATACCTTATTGTATTATCCTTTTGTTTATAACATCAATGGCTCCTCTGGAGACTTTAGGGGGAAAGTTTTCATGACACTGAGTATAAGCCTCTTGCCACCTTCTCCAGCCTACTGTCTGTCAGATGCACAACTAGACACTAGGTCCAACAATAGTAATACTAAGATTAGCTAACTGTGTCTTATGTACCAGCTATTGTATTAAGAATTTTTCATGCATTAGCTCATCTAATCTTAATAACCTTTGTGGTGGGCAGCATTGTCCTTTTTTACCGATAAAGAACATGAAGGTTAACAAAGTTAATCATTTTGCCCAAGGTCACTCAGTTACAAATCCAGAGATAATATTAAAGCCTTATCTGTCTATCCCAAGCACTATGCCACGGAACTCACTTTGATGATATGAAAGTCCAATAACCCCTCATCCTGTGTTTCCTTTTATTTCTATATACAAGAGGAAGAGTATTTAAAAGCACAAGCTATGGAGTCAGATCTGAGCGCGCACTGGGTGCACACTCTGTTATTGGCCTGGTGATCTGTGTAAAGAGTATCCACTGCACAGAGCTCTGGGAGAATGAAGAGAGAGCATAATATAATGGACTTAGCATAGTGTCTGTCACATAATACGCACTCAATTCACTTTAAATGAGTGAATGGATATACTAGTGGAATGCAAAGCAAGATTCTTGCCTTTCAGATGCTCATAATTTAATTGAAGAAAATTGATGTGCACATGGAAAAGATCCTATGTCTGATGGGAGTTCAAAGAACACAGACTGTGCTAGCTTTGATTTGCACTTAGCACACATAGAACTTGAGACTAAAGGCGGGGTGAAAAGAGAAGTTTTCTGTGATGACACAATGCACCAGAGCCAATGTGAAGTCAAGGTCGGGAATATAGATTTGGAAGTCATTACACTGCAGGCTCTTCTTGAAGCTGGAGAGAAACAATTCACCAACTGGAAGGTCGTGAACAGTAAGAGCAAGGATCTTCTTGGAGAAAACACATCTCTGAGGGAGTAATGAGAAAGGTTGGGTAAATAAGGACCAATAGGATGGGAGTTAGAAAATCCAGTGTCAGGGCGAATAAAAGAAACAAGAATTTTCCAAACAGAATTCTGAAACTAGAGAATGACGGTATTCATGTTCCTACAAACAATTCAGACCTCTTTAAGGTAAAGAACTATTTCTTGTTTTTTGGGGAAATCCTAGAGATATTTTAATCAAAATGACTTTAGAGGTTCAAACTTTTCTTTTGACTGTGTATCTGATTTCAGTGTATGGGAACCAAAATGCTGCAGGAAAAATCTGGAATAGTGAGCAGTGACGGTGCTGATGAAAATACACTTCCTCAGCTGGCGGCGACAATCATCGCTTTGTCCCTCCAAGGTGTTTGTCTGGGGCAAAGGAACTTGCCTTCCCCAGACTATTTTACGGAATATATTTTCAGTTTTTTGAATAGTTCAAATACTCTCCATCTCTCGGGTAAGGATGCTTTTCATGAATTTAACTCCCAAGTCATACCTACTAAATGAATTGTGCCCAAAAGAAAGACTGATGCTTTTTGATGACTAAATTTGTTCGGGTATGTTCTAAACACCATTTTATCTTACCATGTAGTAAGACAGCTCAGACTTTTCAAGGCAAACATGCTATTGTTTCTATGTGGTGATGAGGCAAAAATAGGGACTTGGATCATTTGATAGTGGTATTGTGGATTTAGAGCCAAGGGAGAGATTTTTATGACCTGCTCTAAGTACTAATGAACACTTTTCGACTTAGTACATAGCCCTGAGCCAGGGGTCACAAAATATTGCATAAGAATGATGGAATAGTATGCCAAATGGTGCAAGAACCTTGGTAGTGTTTGCTTGTAACTATAACAATAAACTATTTAATTTTATTTATTTTTATTTTATTATTTTTTAAAGATTATTTATTTATTTATTTGAGAGAGAGAGATTGAGAGAGAGCACATGAGAGGGGGGAGGGTCAGAGGGAGAAGCAGACTCCCTGCCGAGCAGGGAGCCCGATGTGGGACTCGATCCCAGGACTCCAGGATCGTGACCTGAGCCGAAGGCAGTCGCTTAACGAACTGAGCCACCCAGGCGCCCAAAACTATTTAATTTTAAATAAAAGTCATGTGACCTATCCTTTCTGGCTACATTCATGACTGCCAGCTTTTTGGAACTGCAAGGTAAAATGGGATGCTGGGAATGGAATCAGAATGTTTGTTTTGCACATTTCTTTGTCCTTGACAAGACATTAAAAATGAAATGAATTTTAATTTTTTGGTAAGATTTATTTATTTATTTTAGAAAGAGAGAGAGAGTGAGTGGGGGGAGGGGCAGAGGGAGAGAGAGAATGTCAAGGAGACCCTCTGCTGAATGTGGAGCCTGACTCGGGGCTTGATCCCACAATCCATGAGATCATGACCAACTGAGCCACCCAGGTGCCCCGGAAATGACATTTTTATTTTTTTTTATTTATTTTTTTTAAAGATTTTATTTATTTATTTATTAGAGAGCGAGTGAGAGAGAAACAGCATGAGAGAGGAGAGGGTCAGAGGGAGAAGCAGGCTCCCCGCTGAGCCGGGAGCCCGATGTAGGACTCGATCCCAGGACCCTGGGATCATGACCTGAGCCGAAGGCAGTCGCTTAACCAACTGAGCCACCCAGGTGCCCAGGAAATGACATTTTTAAAATCTGTATCAAATTTGTACACCAAGGGCTCCTGGAGTGTCGCATAAGAGCTGGTGCTGCTCCCGACACACTTCCTCTTGCGAAGTCACAACCTAAAGGGAGATGTGAATTTACCAAGGGACCAACAACACTCGTGATCTGGATAAACCCCCCAAGTCTGAAGGGATTGAGAGCTGTAGCCATACAATTCAGTGTTGAACTTTCCCTGGACCTATTTGCCCGACAATTTGAATGACAGATGTGGTTTTCTACAGTTCACTTGCATTTTCTGTTAAAAGTCGAAATATAATTAAATCATGTTGCCTAGCTGTCGTGCATAGGAAATAAGCCAGGGAAAGTCATGTTAGGCAGAGAATCATTTTGAGTTGGGAAACAGGAGTTGGGAAATTTTAGCAGTGCAGTTCCTGTTGCAACTGGAGGAGGGCAAGTGATTCCATTTTTCAAATGATATAAAAATTGGAAGGCTTTTGAAGGCTCGACCACTTGAAGGCTCGACCACTCTATGAAATAGGAGGCGATCAGACCACAATACAGAAGACAGAGGCAAGCTGTGTAGATATTGATCATTGTGCACCTTGGTTAAAAAATCCAAATAACTACCCATGAGAGATCTGCAGTATCACCTACTTGAGCAAAAACCAGCCACTTTACACTTTGAGCACTCAAGAGTTCTATTTCAGCGTGCCATTCCATCTCAGCGCCATTAGGCGTTTTAGAAGCCATGAGGCATTTTTTTCTCTTATAGCTGCCCCTGAGCTAGGGCGCTGCAGCAACTGATTGTATCTTGGGTGGAAAGAAAGTATTCTAGTTTTACATGTTTTTTGTTTTTTTTTCCATTTAAAATCCAGCATAGTGAACATGCAGTGTTATATTAGTTTCAGGTGTGCGATACAGTGATTCAATTCTATACATTACTCAGGGCTCATCATGATAAATGTATTCTTTATCCCCATCATCAATTTCACCCATCCACCCACCCCCCTCCCCTCTGGTAACCATCTGTTTGTTCTCTACAGTTAAGAGCCTGCTATTTGGTTTCTCTCTCTCTCTGTCTCTCTCTTTCCTTTGCTCATTTGTTTGTTTCTTAAATTCCTCTTATGAATGAGATCATATGGTATTTGCCTTTGACTGACTTCATTTTGCTTAGCATTATACTCTCTAGCTCCATCCATGTTGATGCAAATGGCAAGATTTCGTGTTTTTATGGCTGAGTGATATTACACTGTATATACATACCACATCTTCTTTACTCATTCATCTATCAATGGACACTTGGGCTGTTTCCATGATATGGCTATTGTAAATAATGCTGCAATAAACATAGGGGTGCATATAACCCTTTGAATTAACGTTTTCATATTCTTTGGGTAAATATCTCATAGAGTTACAGGATTATATAGTGGTTCTATTTTTAGTTTTTTGAGGAGTCTCCATACTGTTTTCCACAGTGGCTGTACCAATCTGCATTCCTACCAACAGTGCCCAATGGCTCCCTTTTCCTCCACATCCTTGCCAACATTTGTTGTTCCTTGTGTTTTGATTTTAGCCATTCTGATGGGTGTGAGATGCTGTCTCATTGTGGTTTTCACTTGCGTTTTCCTGATGTCAGTGATGTTGAGCATCTTTTCATATGTCTGCTGGCCATCTGGATGTCTTCTTTGGAGAAATATTTGTTCATTTCTTTTTCCCATTTTGAAATGGATTATTTGATTTTTTGGTGTCAAGTTGTATCAATTCTTTATATATTTTGGACACTAATCCTTTATTGGATTTTCATTTCCAAATATCTTCTCCTATTCAGTAGGTTGTCTTTTAGTTTTTTTGATTGTTCCTTTAGCTGTGTGGGAGCTTTTTATTTTGATGTAGTCCCAATAGTTTATTTTTGCTTTTCTTTCCCTTGCCTCAGGAGACATTTCTAGAAAAATGTTGCTATGGCCTATGTCAGAGAAATGACTACCTATGCTCTCTTTTAGGATTTTTATGATTTTAGATCCCACATTTATGTCCTTAATCCATTTTGAGTTTACTTCTGTGTATGGTATAAGAAAGTGGTCCAGTTTCATTCTTTTGCATATAACTGTCCAGTTTTCCCAAGACCATTTGCTGGGGAGAATTTTCCCATCGCATATTCTTACCTTCTTTGTTGAAGATTAATTGACCATATAATCATGGGTTTATTTCTGGGCTTTCTAATCTGTTCTATTGATCTATGTGTCTATTTTAGTGCCAGTACCATACTTTTTTTATTATTGCCACTTTGTAAGTATAACTTGAAATCTGGAATTGTGATACCTCTAGTTTTTTCTTTTTCAAGATTATTTTGGCTATTTGGGGTCTTTTGTGGTTCCATACAAATTTTAGGATTTCTTGTTCCAGTTCTGTGAAAAATGCTGTTGGTATTTTGATAAGGATTGCATTAAATCTGTAAATTGCTTTGGATAGTATAGACATTTCAACAATATTTGTTCTTCCAATCCATGAGCATGGAATATCTTTCCATTTGTTTGTGTCATCTTCAATTTCTTTCACCAATGTTTTATACTTTTCAGAATACAAATCTTTCACCTCCTTGGTTAAATTTATTCCTAGGTATTTTATTATTTTTGGTGTAATTTAAATGGGACTGTTTTCTTAATTTCTTTTTCTGCTGTTTTATTTTTAGTGTATAGACATTCAACAGATTTCTGTATATTGATTTTGTATCCTGCAACCTTACTGAATTCATTTATCAGTTCTAGTAGTTTTTTGGTGGAGTCTTTAGGGATTCTATATATATTGTCATCTCATCTGCAAATAGTGGAAGTTTTACCTCTTCCTTACCAATTTGGATGCCTTTTATTCCTTTTTCTTGTCTGATAGCTGTGGCTAGGACTGCCAGTAATATGTTGAATAAAAGTGGTGAGAGTGGACATCCTTATCTTGTTCTTGACCTGAGAGGAAAAGCTCTCAGTTTTTCCCCATTGAGGATGATGTAAGCTGTGGGTTTTTTATATATGGTCTTTATTATGTTGAGGTATGTTCCCTCTAAATCTACTTTGTTGAGGGTTTTTATCATGAGTGGATGTTGTACTCTGTCAAATGCTTTTTCTGCATCTGTTGAAAAGATTATATGGTTTTTATCCTTTCTCTTGATGTGATATATCACACTGATTGCTTTGCAAATATTGAACAACCTTTGCATACCAGAAATAAATGTCACTTGATCATGATAAATGATTTTTTTTAAGATTTATTTATTTGACGGGGAGGGGGAGGGGCAGAGGAAGAGGGAGAGAATCTCAAGCAGACTCCCCACTGAGCATGGAGCCTGATGCAGGTGTCAATCTCACAACCCTGAGATCATGATCTGAGCGAAGACCAAGAGTCAGATGCTCAACCAACTAAGCCACCCAGGCGTCCCAGTAAATGGTTTTCTAATGTATTGTTGGAATCAATGTGCTAATATTTTGTTGAGGATTTTTGTATCTATATTCATCAGAGATAATGGCCTATAATTCTCTCTCTCTCTCTCTCTCTTTTTTTTTTTTTTTTTTTTGGTGTCTTTATCTGGCTTTGGTATCAAGGTAATCCTGGCCTCATAGAATGTATTTGAAAGCTTTCCTTCCTCTTCTAGTTTCTGGAATAGTTTGTGAAGAATAGATATTAACTCTTCTTTAAATGTTTGGTAGAATTCACCTGTGAAGCTGTCTGGTCCTAGACTTTTATTTGTTGGAAGTTTTGTTTTGTTTTGCTTTGTTTTGTTTTGGGGGGAGAGGCAGAGGGAGAGGGAGAGAGAATCTTAAGCAGGTTCCATGCCCAGCATGGAGCCTGGTGTGAGGCTCAATCCCATAACCCTGAGATCATGATCGGAGCTGAAATCAAGAGTTGGATGCTTAACTGACTGAGCCACCCAGGCACCCTGGAAGTTTTTTGATTACTGATTTGATTTCAGTGCTAGTAATCAATCTGTTCAAATTTTCTATTTCTTCCTGATTCCATTTTGGTAGGTTATATGTTTCTAGGAATTTATCCATTTTTTTCTAGGTTATCCAATTTGTTGCCATATGATTTTTTATAGTATTCTCTTATAATCCTTCATATTTTTGTGGTGTCAGTTGTTATTTCTCCTCTTTCATTTCTGTTTTTGAGTCCTCTCTTTTTTTTTCAAGAGTCTCACTAAAGGTTTACCAGTTCTGTTGATCTTTTCAAAGAACCAGCTTCTAGTTTCATTGATCTGTTCTATTGGTTTTTTATTTTCTATTTTGTTTATTTCTGCCTTAATCTTTGTTATTTCCTTCCTTCTCCTGGTTTTGGGTTTTGTTCTTCTTTTTCTTGCTCTTTTAGGTGTAAGATTTGATTATTTATTTGAGGTTTTTCATGCTTCCTGAGGTAGGCCTGTATTGCTATAAAATTCCCTCTTAGAACAACTTTTGCTGCACCCCCAAAATTTTGGACTATTCTGTTTTCATTTTCATTTCTCTGCATGTACTTTCTTATTTCTTCCTTGATTTCTTGGTTGATCCATTCATTGTTTAATCTCCATGTATTTGTGCTCTTTCCAGATTTTTTCTTGTGGTTGATTTCTAGTTTTGTAACGTTATGTTCAGAAAATATGCATGGTATGACTTCTATCTTTTCGAATTGGTTGAGACTTCTTTAGTGTTTATATGTAACCCATTCTAGAGAATGTTCCATGTGCACTTGCAAAGAATATATATTCTGCTATTTTAAGATGGAATATTCTGAATATATGTTAGATCCTGCTGGTTCAGTGTGTCAATCAAAGTCACTATTTCCTTGTTGATTTTTGTTTGGATCATCTGTCCATTTATGTAAGTGGTGTGTTACAGTTCCCTACTATTTTTTATTGCTATCAATTACTTTCTTTATGTTTGTTATTAACAGTTTTATGTATTTGGATGCTCCCATGTTGGGTGCATAAATATTTATAATTGTTATATCATCTTGTTGGATTGCCCCCTTAATGATTTTATAGTGTCCTTCTTTGTCTCTTGTCACAGTCTCTGTTTTAAAGTCATTTTATCTGATATAAGTATTACTACCCTGGCTTTCTTTTTTAATCCTTGTGCATGATAAATGCTTCTCCATTCCTCCACTTTCAATCTGCATGTGTCTTTAGGTCTGAAATGAATCTCTTACAGGCAGCATATAGATGTGTCTTGCTTTTTCATTCATTCTGTCATCCTGTCTTTTGATTGGAGCATTTAGCCCATTTACAGTCAAAGTAATTATTGATAGGTATTTATTTATTGCCATTTTTTTACTCATTTTATGATTATTTCTGTAGTTCTCTCTTCCTCTTTTCTCTTACTCTCTTCTGTCATGATTAGTTGGCTTTCTTTAGCAATATACTTGGATTCTTTTCTCTTTTTCTTTGCATATCTATTACTGATTTTTGATTTGTGGTTACTGTTCAGCTTGTATATAACATGTTCTATACGTAGCAGTTTATATTAATTTGATGGTCGCTCAAGTTTTAACCGATTCTTTACTCCTCTCCCTGCCCCCACATATTAGTATATGGTGTCCTTTATATCCTTTTATTTTGTGAGTCCTTTGAATGATTTTTATAGATACAATTATTTTTATTGCTTTTATGTTTCCTATTTTTCTTGCTCTTACTTATGGTCTTTCCTTGCCATGCAACGGAAACATTTCTTGTACGGCTGGTTTAGTGGTCATGGGTTCCTTTAATTTTTGTTTGTTTGGGAAGCTCTTTATCTCTCTTTCTATTCTGAATGATAACCTTGCTGGATAGAGTATTCTTGGTTGCAGTTTTTTTTTTTTCTTTCAGCACTTTGAATATGCAGTGCCACTTTCTCCTGGCCTGCAAAGTTTCTGCTGAAAAATCAGCTAAAATGCTTATGGGGTTTTTCTTATATGTAGCTGCTATCTTTTTTCTTGCTGCTCTTAAAATTCTTTTTATCACTACTTTTCACCATTTTAATTACTATATGTCTTTGTGTGGACCTCCTTGAGTTGATTTTGCTGGGGGTTCCTTTGCCTTCTGGGTCTAGATTTCTTTTCCCTTCCCCAGATTTGAGAATTTTTCAGCTGTTATTTCACCATCATGTCTGAAGAATTGTTTTGTTGGATATAAAATTTTTGATTGACAGTTTTTTCTTTTAGCACTTTGAGTATATCATTCCACTACCTTCTGGTCTCTGTTGTTCAGATGGGAAGTCAGGTACTATTTGTATTGTTGGTTCCTTGTATGTGATAAGTCATTTTTCTGTTGCTGCTTTCAAGATTTGTTTTTTTCTTTGACTTTCGTCAGTTTTGCCTCAATGTGTCTGGGTGTGGATCTTTTTATATTTATCCTCCTTGATGTCTGCTAAACTTTTTGAACATGTAAATTAAGGTTTTACATCAAATTTGGATAATTTTGACATTATTTCTTCCAATATTTTTTCTGCATCTTTCTCTTCTGTGATTGTCATTACATGTAGGTTGGTATACTTGCTGTTGTCCCATAGGTCTCTGAATATGTTCTTTTTTAGATCTTTTTCTCCCTCGTTCTTCAGACTGGATTATTTCTATTAATCTATCTCCATTTTCAGTAATTCTTCCTTTTACCTTTTCAAATATGCTGTTGAACTCCTCTAGTGATTTTTTCATTTCACTTATTGTACTCAACATCAGAATTTCCATTTGGACACTTATATAATTTTGAATTTCTTATTTCTTCTATTTGTTGACTTATTATTGTCACACTTTAATTCTTTAAATATGATTTCCTTTAGTTCCTTTAGCCCACTTTTAATTAGCTGCTTTGAAGTCTTTTTCTGTTAAATCCAACATCTGGGAATACTCAGAGACCTATATATTGACTGCTTTCTTCCCTGATTTTGGGTCCCACATTCCCATTTTTTTTGCAAGTCTTATAATTTTTTTTTCACTGAAAGTCAGTTATTTAAAATGAAACATTGTAGTAAGTCTAGTTTGTAATTTTTCTTGTCATTAATGATAACATTCAGGAAAATACCAGCGACATTGTCTTCACAAGCAAGAAGATGGATAAATCCAAATAAATTCACCATTATATTTAATTATTCTCTGTATCAATCAATTTAAAAACCTAGAGCTCTACTAAGGGAAACTAAACTGTAATCTATAAACTGGCAACCATACCATGGTAGCATTAGAAAACAAAGTCAGCGGGGCACCTGGGTGGCTCAGTCGGTCAAGCGACTGCCTTCAGCTTGGGTCACGATCTCAGGGTCCTGGGATCGAGCCCCTCATTGGGCTCCCTCTCAGCAGGGAGCCTGCTTCTCCCTCTCCCCCTGCTTGTGTTCCCTCTCTCGCTGTCAAGTAAATAAAGAAAATCTTAAAAAAAAGAAAAAGTCAGCTTGTCTCTACAATCTCAGATCCCTTTTATTTCCTTTCTTGTTTCTGCATAAACAAACCCTTAAAAGGAAAATAATTTTATTTACTTAATCAAATTAAAGTTATAGTTAATCTACTAAGGATGTATATATTACCTCAAAGAAATAAATTTCCTAAGGATTAGGCCAGTTCTATCTTTTGTTTGCATTTTTATAGGGACCATCTAGAAAAAGAAATAGTTGGCTCAAGAGAAGGTATTTCTTTGGAGGAATTGCCCATTGTATCATCCCCAGGAGATAAAAATGGTAGGAACATCTTTGTAAGGCTGATTTAGCTCCAAAGCTTAGTCAAAATCTTGTGAGACAATCAATATTCCCAAGAAGTATAAATGTTCTTTTATTATTGTCCAGAGTAACATCTTGACTTTTCATTAGAACCAAATTTATCTAGCAAAATATCTATGCTGTGGCCATAAGAAATTGTGATTATCCTGAGATTGACTTATCTTTATTCTATGTGACACCAGATTTTGTGTGAAATTTCTAGAACTAGACCAACTCCTCAACATTCTCTGGACCAAAAGTACCTGTATCAGAAAAGATAAAATCCATCAACTTCAAAGGAAACAAAACGACCTATCAATCTATGATTGGGGCTACCCTAATCTATCCGTATCCACAGGCCAAGAGTCAGATGATGGTTCAGCTTCCTGGGATGAGGTATGGTCATTATTCTTATACCACCAGTTGCTACTGTCAAAGTTGTGAAAGTTCTATAAGAGTTGTGGAAAATTTAAAGGATAATGTGTATTTCCTTAAATGTAAAAATATTCTATTTCTACAGAGTGGTCATGGTTTTTTTCTTCTACAAATAGATCTCTGTAGACATAAACATGAGGCTAAGACATGTAGGAAAAACATATAGTGTGTGTGTGTGTGTGTGTGTATGTGTATATATATATATATATATATATATATGATTCTTTCCCCCATTGTGTCTGTATTAAATGCACAAATAATTAATTCAGCAAACATACTGAGCATTTACTACCTGCCAGTCACCATCATGGCCATTAGGGATACAGTGCTGAACAAAAATATGCACAATTCCTTTGGCACTTACAGGGTAGTAGGAGGATACAAACATTATATATATACTTACAATGATGAATGAATGCTTTAAACATAGATTAGGTTATAAAGAGATTACTTGACATGTGAGTAACAGAGAAATATTTGTATAGTAGGTAGCACTGAGAAGTTTTTTGAGAAAAGGTGATATATGAGCTTATAAACATATTTATATCCATTATTACCTAAAGTTGTGTTCCAAAGTACATTCACTAGTCTATCTTAATGCTCTTTGAAAAGGGGTGCTGTGGTCAAATTGGTTTGGGAAACACTAGAAATGCATATTACCCTGTAGCTTATTGAGTTATCTGGGGAGGTCCTTTAGCAAATAAACTTCTTTAATCTTATTGAATCCAGCATTTCTCAAACCTTGACTACAGAATTCTTCCCAGCCCTAACCATTTAAAATCCTGATAAATTGATGTTACATGAACATGGCTTATGTTTATTGAGTATGTACTATGTATTAGACATAGCACTATTTCACCTGCATTGCGTCATTTAATTATTATCACAACTGTATGAGGTTAGGGTATATTATTCCATATTACAGATGAAGAAATTGAGACATGGAACTAATAAATAATAGCTTCAGTTCACAGAAACTAGGATATACACATAGGTTGTCTAAAAACATATTCTGTGCTCTTAACAGCTGTGCTATTGTTTGAGAAATGTTGATTTAAATAAAGCTATTTTGTTATTTGTATCTTAGGTGAGCAAGGTATAGTCAGTACCTTCAAAGGGCGAAATCCCTTACAGATTCTTAACAATGCAGAATGTTGTTCCTGTGAGTTATATATACATGACTGGGCAGTATCATATATTCCCTCCAACCCTCCGATGTTTGTATCTCTTAATCCCCTTCATCTATTCTGCCCACCCCCCCACCCCGAACCCTTCCCTCGGGCAGCCACTAATTGGTTCTCCATATTTATGAGTCTATTTCTCTTCGTTGTTGTTGTTTGCTTGTTTTGCTTTTTAGACAAAAACAGATTATTAGAATATTAGATATTTTTAAAAGTAAATTTCTGTTACTTCTGCTGTATATGTGATATACATACAAGATATATATATAAGATATAAAGACATGTATGAAAGTTGATTCTTTCAAACTCATGCTAATTGTATTCAACACATAGTGAAGAGAGCTGATGCCTATGTTAATCTTTGTTTGCCAGGTCTTCTTCGATGCTTCTTCAGGGCTGGCTTTTAGAAGGGAGCAAATTTGCCTAATGAGACCTTATCTTCATAAAGAATGAAAATTGTTTCTTAAAATTTAGGAACTACCTACTTAAGGCATGTGGCTTCTAAGAACAGTAATAGTCATTTCCTATGCTAACAATGCAAATGATTCTTCTCTGTCCCAACATGTCACTGTCCTTGTGACTCTTGATAGGACCCTAAGATAGACCAGATCTGAAGATCCTACTTATGTTATTTAGCCCAGTGGTTCTCAAAGTGTTGTGCCTGGGAACTTCTTGGAAATGCAAATTCTCAGGTCCCACCCCAGCATCTGCTGAATCATAAACTCTGAGAGTAGAGCCCAGCACTCTTTTAACAAGCCCTCCAAGCTATTCTCAAAACTGAAGTTCATGAACCACTGCTCTAGAATGTTTGTAAAGTTATCATAGAAGTCTGATGACATCAAAACAAGGATACACATAATTTGAAGTTTTATGCGAAGGAATAAAGATATTTTAAAGGTTATTAGCTGGATAATCTAAATTTTCATTCTAGTTCTTTATTAAAAATATTTGGGTTTCAGATTCATAGAATATAATGAATCACCATTAAGGACATTGGTGTTAGTGATTTCAGAAGAAATTTAAAACAAACAAATGACCTAAATAACACAGGAACAGCAAATAAAGATCAAGGGCACAGAAGCTTTTAATAGAAGATCCTTACTCTAGGAGAAGGTAGCCTAAGACCAGAACGATTCAATTTCTTGGCAGTGAACTGGTGAAAGATGCATAGCATTCTGTTCACGTTTGCCTCTGCACTGTTTTCCTTACCAGTCAAGCACTTTTCAGTGAGAATGTTTATTACAAAGGATTCATCATCAAAAGCTTGTTGCCAGTTTCCCTTTGTTGTTGTCAGTATATTTAATGGTGAAGTAATTATATTCCATTAGTAACAAATGGTGCAAAAGAGAATATTGTCTTTGGCACAAATTATTTTGACAAAGGGAAAAAGACAAACCCAGGTTTAGCTTTCTGTTGTTGCTTTTTGTAGTAGAAACCTTTTGGAGTTTTGCCCAGTCCTTTTCTGAGAGATGCCTTCCTCACTCACAGGCGTGAGGCTGGCAGCCCTGTCTGAACAGTCTGATCCCACCTCCTATCTCGTGGGCAAAACTGATTGAACCAGAGGGACATCTGACCCCAGAGAGCCCATCTGTGGCTTTGCTGAAGCAATCAGATCTCTGTCGGGACTTGCAGACTCCACTCAATCTTGGGTTTGTGGGCTGAGAGGTCACTTCAGAGTTGGGGCTTACATGGCCTTGTGTTTACTAAAGGAGAGAACACTGGACCGCGAAAGGAAATAGATACATGCGGCAGGAAACAGAAAGGAGAAAATACTTGGCCCCAAACAGACAGAGTCATAAACATCTTTGGTTCTGATTTTCTAGCTTCAAGTTGAGTTCCTCTTGAAGTGTGGCTGCCTTTTCAATCTCAGAGATCCTTAGCATCCTTCCAATACAACCTCCTCTTGGTTCTCACTGATTTGAGTGGGTTCTCTTCCCTGCAACCAAATCTTTCCTGATCAAGATAAAACATTTTTTATTCATGGACTCATCCCCCCAAAAATGTCTGTGGGGAAAACCCAGCAAATCTGTCATCATTTTCTGATCAGCAATGTGCCTTTGTCAAAAATCCCTACATTCCCCCGTAGAGCGAATCACACAAGCCTCGTAAAGTACTGGTTTTCTTCAGCTACCTTGTTGATTGTGACTAGAGCTCACAGAGACGTCGCACTAGGGTTTGATTTCACGATTTGTGCTGGTGGAACTATATACACATTAAAACTTTTAAATGCCATTTTTGAAGCATATAGTCAGCCCCGAGCACCCCTGAGATGCACAAATTTCCCTGTGGCAATGTTGAGAGACCTGTTGCCTTTGTTGTTTACGAATAACCCTTATCTCTTATGAATATGTCTATACAACATAGAGAAACAGCAAAGGAATCATAATGATCTCAATTGTTCTGGTGGAGAAGGGAGGTCGGTTACAAAGATGTCCATATTACTCAGTGTTCACACACACGCTGGTTGACACAGCTTTCACTCTTTTTAAACATTAACGTTTATTGCTTTTGGAAATACATGTTGCCCACACAGGCTTATTCAATCAGAGAATATTAAAGACAATGATCTCATTACCGCAGAGCTCCTGTTTATCATATGAAATCTTGACTCTGTTGAGGCAAAACCATCCCCACTGAAAAGCAAAACAAGGAGCATCACGGTTGCCTTAGACTGCTGGTTAGAAAACCATTCGACACATTGTCAAATACAGTGCATGTTTTCAGGAAAGGAAAAAAAAGGGTGCCAAACTCATTCTACATCATACTCAAAGCAAAAGTGAGGTGCAGCTGACTTTGATCGGAGGTTTAAAATAATCCTTAGAAATTATGGTTGCAGGGGAAAGCAGGCACGAGTGGCTTCTTGTGTCCTTTTTAGCCCTTTGGTTTGGCTCTGACTTCTCAGGAACGGCAATTGAAGGACAATCTGTTTGTCGGGATTACTAATGGTGTTTTCACCACGCAGTCTTGCTTCTCTGCGGGGCAGCTGGTGGAGATATTTCTACAGAACAGCCTTTCACCCATTTCCAAGGAAGACTTCAAACGAATGAGTCCCGGAATCGTCCAGCAATTACTCAGCTGCTCTTGTCAGCTGCCTGAGGACCAACAAGCAAAGCTGCTACCAACCACTCTGGAGAGTAAGTGCTGGTGCTTCCTTGAGAAAGTTTGTGCACACAGTGTAATAACAATAGTGACTGTAGGATACGTACTCTATATACCAGGCACTGTTCTCAGCATTTTACATTTCTCAACTCGTTCAATCCTCACAACAACACCATGAGCTAGACACTATTATTATCCCCATTTTACAGATACAGGAACAGGCACCTAGAAGTTAAGTGACTTGCCCAAGGACACACAGCCGGTAAGTGACGGAGTTGGGATGTGAACCCCGGCAAGTGGGCCCCACCGTCCTTGTTGTCAGCCGCTATGCTACATTATCTTTCATTGAATATTTCCTATTTTGCATGTAAGTCACAGAAATTGATTTTATCCTCTCTATATGACTCAGTCATGGACCAACTTCAAAGTTCTAGTTGAGAAGTGGCAGGGTATAAGAGAAAGAAGATGAGCGATGGAATCAGAGATGCCAAGTTGAGTCGTGCCTTCTAGCCCCAGCCAACTCGGTCATCTTAAGCCCTCTCTTTATTTCCCCAGGGCTGTCTTTTATTTTTTATTTTTTTCCTGCACGGTAGGAAAGCAGTGATCTCACACAGCTCCCCATCCTTTCACACATCATGACACACGTAAAAAAACAAAGGCACGCTGGGGTAAACCAAAGAGCTCCTCTGGCGTAGAAGTGGCCGTGGGGGGAGTTGTCAGCCTCCCGACCAGGCTGACCCCCCAGGAAGTGAAGGCTGGATATTTGCGCTCCCCTATAACCCACGGAATCACCACAGTAGGTGAGCTCCACTATAAGGTTTCACAGGGTAGCTGTAAGTTTCAAACGGGATAATGTGTACAAAGATGTGTTCTGTCACTTAAAGCACTGTATATTTAAAAGAAAAAGAAATCGTGGCCAAAAACATCCATGATGAATAGCAAAAATGTGACAGTTAACACATGCACGCTTTAAATATTGCCAGTGATCGGAGGGCCTTATGTAGGCCTTTCCAGAGCATTTTTCTTTCTCTCTGAGATAGTCTTGCAGTGCCCATCAGGGATGAACCGTCCAGCACTTCCAACACACCGTGAATTCTGCAGCATCGAGTGGCTCATTTGAAGATTTTATGCGAACAAAACCCTGCCGGACCCAAATATCTAAGACTCCATATTCACTGAAAGGAAAACTTCATTAAACCTGAACAATGAAATAATTCAGTACCTGGTGGTCAGCGTTGGCTCAGAAATGGAGAAGGGGGACAGACCATGGCACCTAGGAGCGTCCATGAGCATATTTACATGCCCACCACCAGGCGCCGTATCTGCTACTTACGGACCACTGCAAAATAGCTTTATGAACTGAAAATCTGGGAGAAATGCTTATCTTTCTAATGAACAGCTAGACCTCCCCTGGGGAATGGTCTTCCTGAGGACGATTCAGAGAAATCACACTTACCATAGAACCCATTACTGTGCTCAATTTAAAATGTTGCATTATGTAACTTAAGGGGAAAGGCGTAAATAACAGAAAATGTGGGATGAAGGCAGAGGCTGGGGAGTTGTTAGGAAGAGAAAGTGTTTTGTGTGCTGGAACCTGACCCTTAAGCACCACCTGCGCATGGGTTTCCAGCAAAGAGTGTTATGACCCTGTATAAATTAGATTTCAGACTTGTTCAAGGGAGCTGCTCAAGAATAGCTAGGAATCAGGGGCGCCTGGGTGGCTCAGTCGTTAAGCGTCTGCCTTCGGCTCAGGTCATGATCCCAGGGTCCTGGGATTGAGCCCCGCATCGGGCTCCCTGCTCCGCGGGAAGCCTGCTTCTCCCTCTCCCACTCCCCCTGCCTGTGTTCCCTCTCTGGCTGTCTTTCTCTCTGTCAAATAAATAAAACCTTAAAAAAAAAAAAAAAGAATGGCTAGGAATTTAATGACTAGGTCAAGTTCTATTGTAATGATGGGAAACATTTATATAGAACCCGTCTGCAAGCTGCCTGACTCCAGTCAAGACGCCGTGACACTTCTGTGAGGACCTGGGGGGCTTAGCAGAGTCCTGTGGCCACGAATGTCAGATTTTATGGTTTTCAGGCTGTCTTTGCCTCACGATCAGGTGAAATCTGATTCACAGAGGACCTGAACAGATTTCTAAGCTCTCAAGTTAGGAAGGGCCCTTTCCCCTCCAATACCGTTCTGTAGGTGCCCTCAGGACAGAGGGGAGAGGAGTTAGAAGAATCAAAGGGCTGCAAATTTTCCTTTTGCCTGGGAAATGCCACACCCTAATTTATCCTTGTGAATTCTCAACATTTTCTGATCTTTTGTAGCTAGCATAAAAATGCGGCAACCTTGAACTTCATTAGACGTCCTTTGAATGTCTTTAATTTATGTATTCAGTGAGAAGAATGACATTCCCACATAGAGTCTATTTTTGGAAGAGTGGGACACGAACCTTGGTTTAGTATCTCCAGGGATGTATTTATAATATAGGTATTTTTATTAAGTCGGAACAAAATAAAACCATTCCAAACCATTTTTATGATTTAAAAAAATTTTTAATTGTAAAAATTTGAAATTGAGATGAAATTTAACCATTCTTAAGTGTCTAGTTCAGCAGTACTTCCACATTATTGTGCAATAAATTTCTAGAACTTTTTCATCTTGCAAAACTGTATCTCTATATCCATTAAACAACTGTCTTATAGAGATTCCCTAGAAGTGAAGGGGTGGGGGTAAGAGTGGGAAAATTAAAATTGGAAAGTTTTTTGCTTCTTTTGAGTACACTGCCAACTCTATTTTAATATTAGACTCCTGTATAATTTAGAACTTATAATTCAATAAAAGTCCTCTTAAAAACAAGACTATTACCATGTTACCAGGTAGTATCATTAATACAATCTAATGTAGGTGTGAACCCTCCAGAAAAGTACAAGAATGATAAAAACAGGATATTTTCTATTTTAACTAATTTTAAGATGGCAGTTTCTTAAAATCTACCTTGGGCTTTAATTAGTATGATAACTGGGTTGTTTGATTTAACTTATTATCTGTAGTCACTAAAGGAAATGATGGTTTAATTTTGTAGTTACCTTCCTTCATTGTTTACAAACCAATTTGCTATGGCTTATTAGTAATTTCTAAATAAGTAGAAGACAGAGTATTTGCTCTGAATATTTGCAACCAAAAGAAAATGGTGGCCTGGAAAACTCTTTATCCCCAAATCATTTATACAGTTGACCCTTGAACAACACAGGTTTGAACGACACAAGTCCACTTATATGCAGATTTTTTAATATACCATACTGTAAATGTATTCTCTCTTATGATTTTCTTTTCTTTCCTTTTAAATTTTTATTTTAAGTAGGCTCCATGCCCCACATGGGGCTTGAACTCATGACCCTAAGATCAAGAGTCACATGCTCAACCACCTGAGCCAGCCAGGCACCCCTCTTATGATTTTCTTAATGACATTTTCTTTCCTCTAGCTTAACCTTGTTCAAGGGTCAACTCTACTTGACCCTGAAAGCCATTTTTGCCCCTCCTTTTTCATCTTTTCTCTTTCCTTCTTTGCTTCTTCTTCCCTCATGCATATTTGCTTTTGTTTGAATAATCTTAAAAATTGCACTTCCTGAATATTTTTTGAAAATTTAGAAACCTAGAAACAGGGGATAAATTTAGGGGTTCTAAAAAATGATTGTGATAATTTAAAATGTAGGCTGTCCAAATTCACATTATCAACCGTTACACATTCATTGATCAGTTCTTACTAATATAAGCACTCATCTTAGGCACTGATGAGTTATGAATAATTTTGAGAACTTTTGGAAGGAAGTACTCACCTTCTACAGAAGCATAGGTCTTTGATGGCCCCACACCATGTGCCCCCTCTATACTCTGCTTCCTTGACTTCAGAAGGTTTAAATGGGATTAGAAGGAAATCACTACCGGTGTATGGCAGCCGATGTTGTGGTTTAAAGCGAGAGAAGTTCATTTCTTTGGCAGCGGGTGGTAAGCTAGGTCCTTTCTTGCCGTGGTGATTTTAGTAAGGGGTAGTTGGGATCACTTCAAAGCAACAAGGTTAATGATGAAAGTCTTTTCATTCTTTTCCTTAAAAATGAAGACCTTTTACACACTCGACCACTCATATAACAATTCCATATCCCCATCAGAAGTATTGTAAGATGGGTTTTTCTGGCATTTTCACTGGCTGGGGTACCACTAGTGGATGAGGAGCTCTGACTGCTTCGCACTCTCCATTCGGCTTAGAATATGGCTACAGCACGGCGGCCGTGGCCTTGCTCACACTGGGCTCCATGCTCGGGACGACGCTGATTCTGTTCCACAGCTGTGAGGAGAACTACAAGCTGATTTTACAGCTCTTTGTGGGGCTGGCCGTCGGGACACTTTCTGGGGATGCTCTGCTCCACCTTATCCCTCAGGTAACACTGTTCTGTCTTCCATGGAGTGTTTCTAGTTTCCATTTCCATTGAGTCACTGGTCATGTCGATACACAATGTCACAGTGACTCGGCCAGTGTGTCTTCCTTGAAAATAAGTATCATTTCCCCAAAGCACTTAAAGGGGAAAAGAGAGAACCAGTCCTTAGGTTCACCACATGTTATTCTTATTTTTTAAATAAACCAAAAGTAATCAGATACAGATTCCTATTAAGAGAAATTCAGGAAGTAGCCACTAATTATCTATTAAATAAAAAAGAATGGGCTGCAAGATGTTGTGCTGCATTTTCTCCAGTTGGTCCCCAATGCTCCTCAGACCCTTTCTCTGTCCTCTTCTGCTCTTTTTTTTTTTTTTTTCTGCCCCAGAAGATTGCACCTCCTCAGCTTCCTCACGGGCTGAATTGTTGTTTGCCAATGGGAGGCGCAACAGAAAAGCCGGGTGGGAGGAGAGCGGGGCAAGGGTATTTCTTGCCCACGCCCTCCTGGCCCTACACTTGTTCTAGAAGCCGCTGATTACCTACAGTACTACAGCTCCCGTGGGAGGACTCCTCCCCCACTCCACCTCCCACTGAGCTGCAGAAATATTACTTCCAACCTTTGCCCTTTCTGCCCTAAGAGTGAAAATGGTTTCCTGGAGTTGCTAGCTTCTGGGCATCTCATTAGCCCTTGCTCCTCCCCTTGCTGCCCACACCTCTGTCATCACACCATCAGTAAGCTCTCTTCATTGGAACCATCAAAATGAATTTCTTTTTTTGCCTCATAACGTCTAGATTTTCCGTAAGAAAAATATAAGCACCAGGAAGCTGGCTCTTTGCTGAATTCTTCTGAGGCTCTTTATTTGTCAGGGATGAAAAGACAAAGACCTGAGATGCAAGAGTTCAGGCAGAAGGAGCTCCAGAGGAGGTTATTTCTTCCCTCTGAAATCTCTTGGGATAGAGAATGATGGGCAAATGGGCCCCCCTCTTGCAAAGCCGGAGATGTTAAAAATTTCCACAAGCCTCTGGCAATTTCCTACAGGGTCACTCTTGTTGCTCAGAGGCTCAATAATTATTAGATGTTCTGAAAATCACAAAGTGAGCATTGGAAAATGAAATAAACCATTATTTGTTTTAATTTCCCTTGTAATCTAATTTTCTGGAAATATTTCAGGGCTTATTGGCTTGAGGCAGGGGCCGAGGCCTTTTCCTAGGTCCCTTTAGTGGTTGCAGAACTGCGCACTGCCTGGGATTCTGCAAAACAGCAAAAGCTTCCTGTGCCTCCCCCCAATGGGGGCATGCGGCTCTGCGCAGGAGGCATGGACTTGGGGGTGGGGGCTGGAGGGGGACGCCATCCGCTGGCTCTGCAGAGACATGTTCCAGAGAGGAGTTTAAAAGATTAGCTAGGTTTCCTGAAAATTGGAAGGCAACTGTTTTACTTGAGGGAAGAGATGTGGGGAAAGGAAGAAAAGTACAGTACAAGTGTTCGGAAAGCTAGAAAAATCAGTGGCTCCTGACTGTGATCCGTGGCTGGTGGTCAAAGGGCTGCACAGAAACAAGAAAAACACGACTGTCATGATTTCCTTTTCTCAACTAGCAACATGTCAACTTAAAGGTCTACATTTTATTCTGAGATTGTAGGGTTTTCTTCTGTTTTGTTTTGTATCCTTGTCATGCCCATTATTTTGTGAAATAACAGTAATTGCAAATACTAGATGGGTATCCTTTAATGTCTTTACCAAAAGGAAAAGTTGACTAACGTGTATTGGTTTTTAGTTACGTTCATAAACTCAATGTATATACTCGGATGCATATGTACACTCACACGTGTACTCATGTGCCTATGTACCTACATATACGCATGTATGTATGAACACATACGTGTACAGTATGTATGCATAGGATTTCTTTTTCCTTTTTTTACTTTGGTGGTCAGTAACATCCTAAATGTAGAAACCACTGAGCTGTTTCCCAAACTGCCTTCTCCTGGGGAGGGAATATGATACATACTGATTTACTAGCTCACAAGAAATCATGAGGTCAACCAATGGGATGAGTCAAGTAGAGGAAAATTCCTCGTACATTTCTTGTATCCCTTTGTTTCCCAGAGAGCTGACAGTATTGATGGGTATATAGTATACACTCCATGGAAGAAGGCTTTCAGGCAGATTTCTCACTTACCTGAACATTTATTAAAAGTTTTCTGTAATTGCAGTGAGGCATGGGGGAAATGAACCTTGGATGAAATGTATCTTTGTCTTTCTTCTGGATATAAAATACATTGATCTGTTATGAAGACTTGCTGTGCAAACAGATATGGATTGAACTCTTGGGGGGAAAAAAGGACTGAGAATATATGAAAATTTGGTTCTCCTTTCTTTTCTCTTGAACACATTTTGTTTGACCCTGATCGGATCATATAGTGGAGGTAATCCTACAATTAAGAGCGAACTGGGCTTTGCATGATTCCAGCAGTTGTTATGGGGTTCCCCAGAAGGAAAGGTGAATATATTCAATACTGGACCTATTAATCAATATTTAAGTCATCAAAAGTTATTTCTTTGTGTCTCTCCCCCCCCTCCTTTTTTTATAAAGGTCCTTGGTTTACATAAGCAGGAAGGCTCAGAGTTTGGACATTTCCATGAAAGCAAAGGCCATATTTGGAAACTGTTAGGATTAATTGCAGGCATCCATGGATTTTTCTTGATAGAAAAATGCTTTATTCTTCTGGTATCACCAAATACTGAGGTATATTTTAAATTTTATTTATCTTTTGCTTTAGAGCTTCATAATATTCATCTTTTATTTCAGAAGTCCTTGTTGAAAAGTAATTGACATCTTCATAAAGTTCTCTAGGTAAGGGATGGGGCTCTGATTTCCAGAATATACAGATCATACTGACTGGCAGCTTCCCTATAAGTATGGTTATTAATTTTTTAAACATCTGTTGCTGGCCTATTAAGGTACTTGTTAAAACCCGCTATTTGACCTTTGTGGCTAGTTTAGAAACAGGAGACTATTTCATGTCTGGGAATGAAGGGCCCCAAAGGTCTAGCTACTAATCAGCGTTTTGGATGTGTTTCCTAACCAAAAACAAATAAACATGCAGACAAAAACTTTGAAAATTCACAAAATTACCCATCATTTTCTATCCTAAGAACATTTAAAATTATAAAAACAAGGAGCTCAAAAATGGGACTTGTGGCAGATCTTTTTTTTTTTTTCAGCTGAATAATTGTATCCATTGTGCCTGTATTTGATCAGTTTCTACGTCTGTGATGAAACATAAAATGCAGTATGGTTTTTTTTAATGGATTTGTTTTGCTCTTATATCAGACAATAGATTAACTGGTGGGATGGTTAAAAAGGTAAATGCTTGCAAACAGCTCTAGGAGACCAAAATAAAGCAAATTCTCCTCACAAAGTCCTGGGGCTCTCTAGTCCTCCATAGTTTTCCACTTATTTTCTGGCTTTCTCCTTGTTCCCATAATTTATAATGTCTGCACTCAGGGAAAACTTTCACAGTCTTTTAAAATATCCAGCACTTGTCTATTATTATTCCCAAATTTATCCGAGATTCAAATTCTGCACATCAAAAAATAAGATGGTTTTATGGATGGACAGAGGGATGACAGATGGAGAGGTGGTAAAACGGTGGTAGTCAGATGTTAATGGTAGGATCTTGGGAGTGAGGATCTGAGTGATAACATTACAGTTCTTTCAGCTTTTCTATTTGAAACTTTTCACGGTAAATAAATGCTGTCGAAATTTTCTTTTTTAATGAACAAGGGTTTTTCTTCGTCCTGGAGCCAAAGCCAGGATACTATAGTAATTCAGAAATTAGGAATGCTTGCTTTGATCACAGCCCCTACGCTTGCACATTCAACAACCTCACCTCCACAGAAGGGGTTCTCATCTCAATAAACACAAAAGACAATAATAGATCTCTTTGTCCACAACAGATTAGCATTCTTGGCCTGGGAAAATTAAACGACAAAGTCAACATATCAACCTGTGTGTAGTAATTAGAAATTTAACCAGGATAGAAATGAGTGAAATAAATTCTGGCCATCCAAAAATGTGCGGAGCTTATTCAGATTGTCCTTGGACTTGTCAGGGAACTTAAAACGAGTTTTTTTTTTTTTTTTAAGATTTTATTTATTTATTTGAGAGAGAGAGCACGTGAGACAGGGGAGGGTCAGAGGGAGAAGCAGACTCCCTGCTGAGCAGGGAGCCTGATGCGGGACTCAATCCAGGGACTCCAGGATCATGACCTGAGCCGAAGGCAGTCGCTTAACCAACTGAGCCACCCAGGCACCCTTAAAACAAGTTTTAAGAGCAGAATTTCAAGACTCATTATATTGAGTAAAATAAAAGGAAGGCAAATATTTTAGAAGGTACAAGTGCTTTAGTGGATGAATACATTTCCGAAGATATTAATTTCATAGTTATAGGGTGTAATATAGTTTCAGTTATCATCCCTTTGGCATCCCTATCAGAAAGAATGCAAAATTTAATTTTGTAGTAAATATAATTTTTCAGTAAAAAGACAATATAAAAACTGCCACTGTTCAAGTCTTTTAAAATCATAACTAGACATTTAAAGTTTCGTTCTTAAGGCACTTGGAATATGAACAATGTTTCAGAGCAGTCCTGTGCTTCTCCAAGGTGAGACATTTTAGTAAGTATTTATCACGATAAAATTCTCTCAGTGCTTTTTTTTAAGGATTTTATTTATTTATTAGAGAGCACAAGCAAGGGGAGTGGCAGGCAGAGGGAGAGGGAGAAGCAGGCTCCCAGCTGAGCAGAGAGCCCGATGCAGGGCTAGAACTCAGGACCGTGGGATCATGACCCGAGCTGAAGGCAGACGCTTAACCGACTGAGCCATCCAGGAGCCCCCCCACCCCGTGTTTTTTTCTGTACCACCCACCACTTTGGCCAATAAGCAAAGTGTTAAATGGAACCATGGAATTGACAGAGGCTACACCTGTGTTCTTCTGGCTTCAGCACTGATTTTAAACCATCCTCATCCAGCAGGGCGTGTCCTTAATTAATGGGCATGTGGGCCATTCCCACCATCTTGCACTCAACTCTGAATTAAGTGACCAGTCAGGCAGAGGCAAATCTGCTTCAACTATCCAGTTGGTAGGTTAATGATCTGAGGTATTCTACTGATTTGATTACCTTCTTTCCTTTATTCTTTGATGAATAGATGAAAATCAGTAGGATAGATAAATCCACTCCTGATTTGCCTTTCTTAACCACGATAAGTAGTTTGGAGATCTTTGCCAAGCACCCAAAAGCTGTTTTAAAGAGCAAAAAGCCTTTCCACAAATCCAAATCCTTGCTATCTACACCACTTTGAAACACATACGATCAGCTCGACATAATGTATACCTCAATCATTTTGTTAACAAGTTTTCATAAACCAGTTGACCTTTAGGTTTTCCATCCTGAATAATCCTTAGACATGGCTAGATGGGGCCAAATAAATGTTGAGCAAGGAATTCGTGCATCTAGGAGTGGGGTGATAATTTTATACAGCAGAAAAGAATGGATTCTGTCCCACAAGGTGTCTTTTAGTAAGTGGTTTCTGTTACACTGAGGTTTCCAGGACAAATATTCCACTTGAAGTTGCAAAATACAACCTCCAATCAGGTTTAAAACAATGTCCCCACTCTAAATCTCAAAGTAACAAGTAAAGGGACAGGAAAAAATACGAAAGTAACAAATAATAGAAAACTTGCCACCTCTAACCATGGCCTTGGGCGAGGTGTCTACAGTTCAAGGATAGATTCCTAACCTAGAGATAAGTAAGCTGAGCCTGAGACATTGCCACAGCAAAGAGAAGTCTGCTGGGAGATTGCGGATCTAGGGCTAACTCAAATATGAACAAAACCATCCCTTTAAACAAGTCATTTTAAAAGCCTTATTATGTTTATTGCTTAGTTACTTCACATGTGGCTTGGAAGAAGATAATTTCAGGCTGAGATTAGTTTTAAAATCACTTTCAGGCTGATTTTACTTCATTCCTTCTGTTTCAGTGAAGGGTTTCAGAATCCCAAGATGCATTTAAGCAAATCTTTGATGCTAACTTAGTGAGTTTTGAACTCTTTGAATATGCTAGCTTACTAAGAATATACTCACTATTCCTTTTGTTATTTTAGCTGCAGGATCACCCTTAAAGTGAATAAAAATAATATGAACTTTTAAGATTGTTTGGTTCAATTTCCTGGTTTTTCAGGAAGGAACGGACCTCATAATTCTCACCAATCAAGGAGTCCTGGATGCTTGCCTCTAAATTCCTTTATGTAGTATATAGTTTTTTGGGAAAAAAAAATTCTAGAATAATTATTTGAACTTCTTTTAATAGAACTATAGGACCTTTTGATTTTAATCAGGCTTTGGATGTAACATAACAAAAAAAATCACATTGTCTTCTTGTTCACTCTTACCCTGTCTCCTTCGGGTCCTACCTTAATTCTCAGCCACTTATCCAAAAATAGCCCATTATTGTATCTTTTGAGTAGATGCTACCGTTCAAATATGTGAGATACAAGTTTACTTTCTCTATTTCACATTTTTTAAAAAGATGCTTATGCCTCACATTAAATTTGTCTCAAAGTTTTTTTGGAAGTTTATTTATTTAAGTAATCTCTACACTCAACGTGGAGCTTGAATTCACGACCCCAAGATCAAGAGTCGCACACTCTTCCAACTGAGCCAGCCGGGCACCCTTGTGAATGTGCCTTTGAAAGGACATGTTCAATAGGCAGATACAGGTTTTCCTCACTATCTGAAAATAGAGCATTCCTATGAAACCTTTTGTAAGCAAAATGGTATAAAGTGAAGAAGCAATTACCAATAATTTACCCGGAAAAATGTGTGAGCATTCCCAGACACAAAACATAACCTCTCTTAGGACCGTTTGATACCTTAGGACACATTTTGCTAACAGGTGCACACAATAAATCGAGATAAAGCACAGATGCTCACAGATACAGGTCGAAGCTCTGGTGGCTTGACGCTGAGATGCTGAGTGCAGTTCCCGGGGAAAGCGCTTGGTGGCGCCACTCAAGGCTGGGGTGCGCGCTGCCGCTTTAGCCTTGCTACGAAACGGAGGCTGAATGCTCTCGGTGCTTTTGGCTTATTTTCATAAAAGCAAAGATCCTCTCCGGATTTATTTCAGTTGGTGAAAACAGGTCCTAGGGTAGGTTTTTCGTAAAAGCAAACGGGGTGTGACATGAGCTTAAGAAAAGCAGGGGCTACTTATGAAAAGTATTCACATCATGGAATGAGAATCCGAGGCCCGGGGAAGGGAAGTGACTTTCCCGAAATTGACCCGTGAGTCAGTCTCTGAAATAAAATCACGTAATCTTAAGTCACAGAAGTCAACTGCAAAATCCTACTTCTCTGTCCTATGAAAGTATAAAAAAAGCTTAAAATATATATTTATCTTTTGTAAGTCTGTTGATGTACCTTCTTCATCAGCGAGATTCTTCTACTCGTGGCCAAAGCAGAATATTACACTCTCAGGAATAATGGGAGGCATTGCCTGAGTTCGTTCTCTATCCACAATACACGATGTGCTTTAAGATCAGAGAATGAACCCTAGACCCACAGTCCACCATACAGAAGTGTCAAATTAGGTCAAGAATCAAGAATCGTTTTTTCTACAGCTTTTGGGTTTCATAAAGGCTTATATAATTTAAGAGCCTGAATTACAGACTGTCTCGGTAGCCTCTAACTCCGTGTGGAAGGTTCTGATCCACGTAAGAGAGCTATTTTCGTCTAAAGGTACACAGGGCCAAAAGTTTGCCTCTAACCCTTCTGCTTTACCTTCTATGCTTGCCTAGGAAATTTCTAAGTTCTCATATAGCCTAGAGTATTCAAGTGTTTAAAAATCAACATAACTCTCCAGATGTTTCATTTTTACACCAAAATGATGAGCATTGCTAATCTTGCATCAGTTTTTTTTTTTTAATTTAAAATAGAAAGGCCCAGAAGATTCACAGGCAGCTGAAATTCCTGTAGGCAGTATGACAGCCTCCGAAAGAAAATGTGAGTACCAATTTTCAAGAGCTATACTTTAAATATAGAAAGTACCACAGAACAAGGATTATGTCTGTTTGAAAACAATGTGTGGAAATCATATAGATTTCTTCCTGGGTTTGTATCTCATTATTACAGCCTTTATGAGAAAATGTTTAATACTCATTCCCATCGGTCTTCCACACACACTGCTCATTAACATCAGTTGTACTCCATTCTTTAAAAACGATGTTTTCCTAAATTGTTTAAAACGGATCCTCTGAGAACTGCAGTTAGTGTAAATCCATATGTAGTTGTCAAGGCTCCTATAAAATCGTGAGCACAGCATACAGTGTAGACTTGCGGAATCACTCTGTCGTGCACCTGAAACTAATGTAATGTGTGTCAACTAAATATCAGTTTAAAAAAAATTCATGCTTACATGATGATTGAACCTTTTACTTCTTTCTCTATGAAATCTGGAGACTTCTGTCACAGTCTACTGAAATTTAGCACAAACATCTCTCTCATGTGTGATGTTGTCCCTGGGACGGTGGAGGTCAAATCAGAGATAACTCATCATTCATATCTTATTCTATAACTCACTTGTTCATATAAATTTCAACCAACCTTTTTCTTTCTGTGATTTTTCCCTATTTCTGAATTTAATGTACCAATTTTGTATGCAGCTTTATTCCTTTTGGCTTATGTTTTTGAATAATTTTCTGAATTCTTTTGGTCTCCTTCAGTTTTCATCCATTGCTTCCAAATCTCTGCCCAGTGTTTCTTACTGATAGTACCCTTTTGTGACACAATCTTGTCAGTGTTTTAACGTTAAACAGTCATGATTAGTTACTCACATTCTACCATAATAGATTAGTTACCTCGTAATAAAACTAGCTAACATTATATGCCAGGCATAGTGTTCAACACATCATGGATTATCTTATTTAATACTCCTATGACTGAACAAAGTAAGAACAATTATTATCCCAGTTAAACAAGCGTAGAAACCAGTTGTTAGAGAGGGTAAGTTACTGCCCAGGATTACATAGCTAGTAAGCTCCAGTGGAACTAACGAATGCTAATGGACCAACAATTTCGTGATGGTCATTCATTCATTCATGCATCCATGTCTTCTCTCACATTCTTTCATTCATTCAAGAAATTTTTGAAGATGTGCTGTGTTTCAGGCACTGATGCATGCACCGGAGAATAAAATAAGAATGGTCTTTATCCCTAGTTTGCAATGTGGCTGGGGATATAGATCAAACATGATTGTAACAATCACTATTTTAAATGTGTTACATATAATAACCTCGGTAACTTATTATTTGATTCAAAATATGTGATTATGTAGTCTGTCTAATTCTGCTCTCAGGACATGGCTAGGAATATTTTCCTTCTAAATCTTTAGTTCCAGAAGAGATTCTAGAATGCCTGGCACCTAGTAGGTCTGCAGTGGTCATTTCTTCACTATTGTTTTTGCAAGAAGGGAAGAGGGGAGAAGGATACGCCCCGTCACATTAGGAGTGCAGTGGTAGATGCTAGATCAGGGAGTAAGGATGGTCTTATTGAGGGATTTTGGAGGCCTCAAATCTTTCCACTTCAGATATCAAGCTTGGCATACAGAATGCACAGTGAACAAATCCAAATTTGATTACTCAACTGCCCTTTTGCCAGGGACATATTGAATTAGCTTCAAATATTTGATTACTTGTTTCACATTACCTCATTGGTGGAACTCAGCTTGTATTTCAAAAGACAGGATGTGAACATCCTACCCACAGTCTGATTTAAATAAACAAAAAGCAACATGAGACAAGGTCCAGCCCCTGTTTCACCATGGAAAACCTCAGATAAGTTAGAAATGTGGAAATGAATATGACTGCCAGGGATATAAGCAAAGATAAAATATTATTGATAATTCTGTAATAAGTACATTAGATTACCAATGAATGCTGGTCTTATCTTCCACTGAATAATGTGTACATTATCTTAAACATTATATACAGTGTGCTTATGAGGTTTACATTACAAATATGTATATTTGCCTGTGGCTTGTTACATGTCCCTGATCTGACATTTAGAAACCCATAATCAGAGGTAATAAAATAAGAGACAACGAAAATAGGCCACAGTTTCTTAGCAGAGTATGAATTGAATAAAAACTTTCCATTTGAATATATGCTACCTGTACCAAACTACACTAAAGTACATGGAAATCACAATATATTTGCATGCTGCAATGTTGCCAAATGTATTACTTAAAATTGTTTTAATTCCACAAAGAAGAGCTTTCTTTCTGAAAATTGGCAGGAATGGCAAAGCGACCTGGTAGGATTATTAGATTCTGAGAGGTTCCAGGCCATGCCAGTAAGAACTCCCTGAATTCGATCATTTGATATTTATTCTGTGTTTATATGACCATTGCCTGAAATTTTCTCACTTTTAATAAAGAATAAAATGAATTAGTAAACCTAGATTAACTAAAACAAGACTAACTAAAAAGTTAGTCTTATAGTGATAGGTCTAAGTAAACCATGAATTTTAGAAGTGAAATGCATGGGACATGTTTGCACTGTAGTCAATCTCGTGGCTGATAGTTGAGGCTCTATCTACCATTTACTTGACTGAAGTTATTTATTTATATTTTTTTTAGTAAGTAATTCTTTTTTTTTCTTTTTTAAATTTTGAATTTTAATTCCAGTTAACATACAGTGTGATATTAGTTTCAGGTGTACGATGTAGTGATTTTTTTTTATTATGTTATGTTAATCAGCATACATTACATCATTAGTTTTTGATGTAGTGTTCCATGATTCATTGTTTGCATATAACACCTGGTGCTCCATTCAGTACATGCCCTCTTTAATACCCATCACCAGGCTAACCCATCCCCCCTCCCCCTCCCCTCTAGAACCCTCAGTTTGTTTCTCAGAGTCCATAGTCCCTCATGGTTCGTCTACCCCTCCGATTTCCTCCCCTTCATTTTTCCCTTCCTGCTATCTTCTTCTTCTTCTTCTTTTTTTTTTTTTTTTTTAACATATAATGTATTATTTGTTTCAGAGGTACAGGTCTGTGATTCAACAGTCTTACACAATTCACAGTGCTCACCATAGCACATACCCACCCCAATGTCCATCACCCAGCCACCCCATCCCTCCCACCCCCCACCACTCCAGCAACCCTCAGTTTGTTTCCTGAGATTAAGAATTCCTCATATCAGTGAGGTCATATGATACATGTCTTTCTCTGTATTTTATGGTGTCAGATGTGAAATGAGTCAAACTGTATTCTCCGGACAAAATAGAAAACCGTACTGTAGTATAGTGCCCCTGTAATATTGGACCACATAACAGAAACCAGGAGGTAACCTTTTTCTATTTTACTGAGTGTATAATTATTAGAATATTGGGTTCAGTTCTAACAGCAACAACTACTTACACCAGGCACACAGTGCATAAGGGCTGAGTAATTAATGAAGTCTTAGACAGTGGAAATTGATTTGAATAGCTATTCCTATCAAATGGCATCTCGAGGTGGTTTACTGTCTTAATAAGTGTTATCCCAGGAGTACTTTTTGAATGTATTAGTTGTCCAATTCCATAAGAGGGTTATGCTAATATTACAGTTTTAGGTTTTCGAAAACAGAAATTCTGTCCATTAAAACCTTGGACCCAATTAGGATTGAAAATATGATACTAATTATTTCAGTGAGTCTCCACTAATCAGATAATGTATATTATGTAATGGAATCCCATGAAAACAACTTCTCTTTGTTTTGTTCAATGTCCTGCTGGCCTAGTACTGAAGGTTATTTTTCAGAAAGACAAGGACACTAACTAATTGTACCAAAGCTAATTTGGGGGCCGGCGGAGTTGACCGTGGTTCTGTGCTGGTCACGGCTGGGGACTGAACAAGATATTTGGGGAGGGCCATGAGCGCCAACCAGAAAGGGAAACTCAATGAGCAGAAAATGGCAGACTAACGCCAGGGATAGTCTGACCCAGAGGAGACAGTTTTGGAAAATAGCCTCATTTTAATGATATCCTACGGGGACGGTCTTAAATTATTTTAAAGTGCTTTACAAAAGATGCACATGCAGAGGTCACTGGTGGTATTTTGGAAGGTTCTAACAATATTATGTTTATTTTTTTTTCTTTTGGGATAGCTGAACAAGGTGACAGAATAGTGAATGCCACGCGTAATTTATCTCGTTACTAGTCAGATCCATTACAAAAACAATGACCTGCAGCCAAATGTGTCGATTACTATATTTGGGTCCCCAGTCCTGACTTATTGGAAAAGCTGAAACAAAGCGGGGTTGCTTAATTTGATGCGGTTTAAGAATGTCAAGGGTGGGTGGAGAAGTTGGTTGTGTGTGAAGGGTTCCATGAAATGTCTGGTGCCCTGTTAATTCTTCTCACACCTTTATTTTGTTCTTTAGGCAAAACCGTTAGCTTCTTAGCAATAATGATACTGGTTGGGGACAGCCTGCATAATTTTGCAGACGGCCTCGTGATAGGAGCGGCCTTCTCATCTTCATCCGAGTCGGGAGCGACCACCACACTTGCAATCTTGTGTCACGAAATTCCACATGAAATGGGTAAGTCACAAAGTAGTGTGGCTTCCTCCCGCTTGTTGAGAAAGCCAGAGTATATTTCTAGCTATGGTCCGTAGGCGTCTTTTTCCGACACAAAATTGAAAGGTGAATACTTTCCATTCATAATCTATTTAAACGGCAAGAAGAAGACAACTAGAAAAAAAAATTCTGTACCTTGGGATAAAATTCACTTAGACTCTTTATGATGTTTCCCCAGGGCCAGAAGTCACTCGTTTTGGACTCTGGAGAGTTCTATATGGAAGAAAGTCATTTAGAGAAACCTCATTTTAAAGATCTTTGGCAAAGACTTTAAAATCTGCATATTAAATGTGGGAAAAACATTAAGAGGGGAACTTTCCCCATTAGGTCAGCAAACAGGCCAATGAGATGAAATAACATTTAAATTAAAGCCAAACCATGGTTTCATCAACTTGATTTATATAAAATGTCTAAGGCCAAGCATAAAATTGAAATGATAGGCGTCTGGTAGCAGATGCGCATCAGGCTCTTTTTTCTGGATAATCTTAATAGCTCTGTAATTCACATTCTGCCTCCCAGGAAACAAGAGAAGACAAAATAGACATTTCCAAAAGAGGCCCAGAAACAGCAAGGACTGGCTCCAGGCACAAGCGTGCCCTAGAGAGGGAGCTCTGGACAATCTCATTGCCCCCCACAGCCAGGTCTACATAGCCCCTTTGGGCCACCCCGGCCTCGGGTGTTCAGTGTCTCCTGCTGGAAATCCTGTCACCAACCCATCACCCATCCTTCTTAGAGCAGTTTATCCAAGGACCTGGTCTGGGTGCCGTATACTGTGGCCTTGCCTTTAGCTATTATACTAAAACCACAGAGGAGTGTGACAGGTTGTGGCAAACCAGCAAAGATGTTTTAAGACCTATTCCTAGGGGGCGGCTGGGTGGCTCAGATGGTTAAGCCTCTGCCTTTGGCTCAGGTCATGATCCTGGTGTCCTGGGATCGAGCCCTGCATGGGGCTCCCTGCTCCACGGGGTGTCTGCTTCTCCCCCTCCTTCCTGCTCGAGCTCTCTCTCACTATCTCTGTCTCTCTCAAATAAATAAATAAAATATTTAAAAAAAAAAAGACCTATTCCTGGGACCAGTTATGCCAGGGAACTAAGAAACTGAGTCGCCAGACTATCTCTTTATTGAATTTCAGCCCTTCCCTATCTCCCAAAAAGAGACTCTCAGAGCAAAAGGTCATTCTTCTTTAGGAGGAAAGGTGTGGAGAGAATCTTTTTCTATAATCATCAAGGCAGTAAAAACGTTTTCTAAGGGAAAAATTTGTTTTCCTAACCAACTTTTGCAATGATTTTAAAATCTCATATTGAGTAGTTCTCTGTTTCCCCACAGGAGTTCTCTCAGAAGAAAAGGATAAAAGCCAACATAATGTGATTTTGCCTGGCAAGTTTCCAGGCAAAAAGGTTTAAAAACTCTAGAACAGCAAGTGCTGTATTCTGCATTTATCTAGGTTGAAAATGTCACAGGGTGTCAGGACCTGAAGAATATGTCACAGTTCTCCCCGCATATGCTAGATTCAGGACTAGTAAAAGGAAGACAGCTCTTGAAATGTAACTTCCTAATGGTATAATGGGAATCCTAGAGAGATATAAGAAAATGTTTTATCAACAGGTCAGTCAACTTGTAAAATTGGTCCCAGTCGCTGAAATCTGAAGCATCCTAATAGCACATTACTCTAGCAAAGTCATCATCATTTATACAATGATTATATTTTCTTTTCCCCTTAAATTTCAGGAGATTTTGCCGTGCTCTTAAGCTCTGGACTTCCTATTAAGATTGCCATCCTTATGAATTTTATAAGTGCTCTCACTGCCTTCATAGGACTATTCGTTGGCCTCTCAGTATCAACTGATCCGTGTGTTCAAAACTGGATCTTAACAGTTACTGCGGGAATGTTCTTATACTTATCCTTGGTGGAAATGGTAAGCTTTGTGGCTTTTCCATGTTGTTTTTCTAAACTCTGAAAATGTAAAACAGAGAAAAAGCCATAAAATGGAAGGATAGATGAGAAGAGAGGAATATATTTAATAATATTAAAGACTAAGGAAATATTCTGTGTAATCCAAGAAAGTAAGTTGTAGGCAGAAGACACATAATTTGAGATACAGAAAATATTAACATCCTTTTAGTGAATTTCAGTGGAATGAATGAAGCCTGTCGAATTGCCAAAAAGTGATCATCAGTTCACTCTGCTCCAGCTGTGCATCTCTATATGGTGCCTAGCCTTCTAGCTGAAAAATGGAAAGTGCTGTAACATAGCCACCTATTTTATTTACGCATTGGAAAATAGTTCATCCGAATTTGCCATTAATCAGCTGTTTGACTTAATTAACCAGCTGTATTTTTTAAAGAAATGATTTCATCCTTATTTTTGACTTTAAGTTTTACTCTATCATGCTGGTGAAAAGAGAAAGAGGATGGTATGGAGCCTCTCACATTACAACATATATTTCCTAAAGAGGTCCTCGCTGACATGAATTGAAACTCAGTTACCACTTTTCATCCTCTCCAATCTGATGAAGGAATTGAAGCTGGGAAATTTTACTTTTTTTTTTTTTTTTTGCCTCTTAAATTCTGGAATCTGCAAAATCAACCAGTCTTTTTGAAGTCACCTTCTATTAGACTTGGTACGATTTGGATGTGTTGAGGTAGAAGTCCGAAAACTATCTTTTCTCATATGTTGGAATCATGCATGTTAAAATGATATAAATGAATGAAAGAAATACTGAAGAGTGAAAATCAATAGAAAGCCCATCCAAATGGAGTAAAATATGTGATTACATGAATGTTAGATTGGAAAAGTAAAATAAGCAATCTTGAAGGTCGTATGTGGAACAGGACCCTTGGGATTGACTCATGATCTGGCAGAATCTCGCTATTGTCCCAGAACTAAGCGAAGAAGAATGTCTCATGAGGAAAAAAATCTGAAAGGCAGGAGCCTTTACTGAAACAACCAGGTAACAGTGAATTCTGGAGGTAGAATTCAATAAGGGGACTCTTCAAATATAACACAACCATTTTAAACCCCAGTCTACATACTTCTGACTTTTTGGTGGTTTTTCTTAATTCTCATGAGATTAAGATAGATGAGGTAAACACCAAAAGGTACTTCCCTGTTTAGAAATGTTCTTAGATATTATTTACGATACTCAGGGAATTTCCTGATCTTGATAGTAAAGATGATACTAGGGGAGCAAGGTCAACCCACCTCTTCTGAACTCCAATCCTCAAGCCAAGGTCAGTATCACAGGATCCTGTGAGACTTCCAGTTTGAGAAATCTAGATAGCTAGCCTTGCATGGTGGTTTCCAAAGGAATACTGTCACTCGTCGCTGAATGTTGCAAACTACCTTTTGTCTAAAATGTCTATATGTCAGTCCTCAAATTCACTCGTGAGTCTCCTGATTTTCATTTTTCTGCTTCTAAATTCCTTTCTCTTCATGACTCATTTGGGGGCAGTTGCTGTATTCTTTGGAAGTTTATTCTGTTGTTTTGTTTTGTGTTTTGTTTTAAGTCTGGATCTCTCTTCAATTATGATGGATGTATATTTATCTAGTTAATGCTTTTTCTTTGTTAGAGAGTCTGATCTCCCAAAATGGACCTGAGAACATTATCAAGAACCGTTTGTCGTGGAGAACCCTAAGCTAAATACGTCATTTTCCCCTCGGTGTTTCTCCCGCTGCTTCGCTAGCGTAAGCAATCACTTGTAAGAAATGTGGCAGATATCCTATGAGATTCCAACTAGAATGAATCTTGACCTTGTTGCAAATTCCTACTGGCCAAGGAAAAGCCAGCATCCTGGCAGAAAGACAGGAAAGAAAATACTCTCGAGTTTCCTGGGGCTACTTCGTATAATCCAGGTCGCCTGCTCTCACGGCCTTTTGAGTAACTTCTAAACAAATAGGACTCTTTCACATAACAGCAACTTTAACTGTTGCTGGGCTCTGGGGCTGTGCCAGAGAAAATAGTCTTTTGTCATTTAAAGGGACGAAAACAAGGTTTAAAGACTCTGTAAAACAGGAAAGAAAATAAATAACAGTAACTAAAGGGTAAGGGTGGGGGAGAAATACTTTCATGCACTGGTTATTTACTAAATGCTGGAAATTTACCAGGCACCTTCTGAGCAGGGCTAATATGAAAAGATTAGCTACATTTTGCCTTGTTTGTTTATCTCAAAGAAATTGGGCATGTTATTTCAAACTCCCAGAAGAAAAAGAACTAGGAGCAAAAATGGGGCCATTAGTAATGAAGTCAGAAAGGCAGAAAGGCTTCACTAGGGAAATCTGCCAGCCTAAATTCTCCAAAGTGGTATTGCCTTATCCAAGCACACTAACTCTCAGAGGCACTGAATGGTTTCTAAAGAAAGTTAAGAATGAATGCAGGTCTGGGTGGCCAGAGGAAACTCATTCTGTTATAATGATCAGTGTCCTAGGATGGGTTTGTCCCAAGCAGAGGCTAAGACAAAGGCATTTGGGAAGGCAGTTCGCCCTGGAGGTGATCCCAGGGGCAGGAATGGAGGGCAGGTGGAGTGGAGCAGAAAATGACAGAAAGTCAAGAAGACGATGTATTTTTGTTAAGTCGACCACCACTATGGGCGATCCACCACACAAGGCCTTCTGGGTGTGGGGAGGCTCCTATTCCCATTGTTCAAAGCTAGCCCCACAAACATACCCCCCACACACGCCCTTTTCAGGTTATGCATGCTTAAGCACCAAGGGAATTCCCACCGCAGTCCCAAGCCATCACATTGGAGGAGCCCAGGGCAAGAGAAGGAGGAATGCAGGGTGGGCTGAAGCAAAGTTCTGTGCAAAACTAATCAACACCCCCTTGGAAATGGTCTCTGCAGCAGTGGCTGAGTGTCAGAGATGAGAGAATACGAGGAGCCCCTTCAGGGCAGGAGCCAGCCAAAAACTCAGGAAAGACTCAATACGTGATAGTTAGCAGAACACGCTCAAACCCAGTGGAAATATTTGATATTCAACCATCTCTGTCCTCCAGCACCCAACTTTGATTCTCCTCACTTTTCAGGCAGCACTCTGACTGACCTTCTTTCCTAGAAGGGCAACCCAGCTGTTCCCTGAGGGGTCTGCTTTGTCCTGGTCGGGCCATGTGTCCTGTGCTTGCCTGTTCCCCATTGTCATCAGACATGGAAGCACCAAGAAATGCTTCAAGGAACCCCTGGTTTCTAGATACGTTCCTTCCTCCATTGTGTAGCCATAACCGTACCTGCTCATGGTAGCCAGTGGCAATGACTCCCACCAGTTTCATAACATTTATCTCTGCTGGTCGATCTATTGGCAGAAAGAGCACAAGCGTACTCACAGGTTCAAGTTCAGTGGAAATGCTCCCTGGTGTATTCTCAAAAACAAAAATCTGTGATCTGACAGTGCTAAACTTTGCAGGAATAGGAAGCACAGATTCTATCAATGTAAGAGTTGGCAATGATGGTGTATCATTGTTTCAGGATTTTCTCTCATTTCTGCTGTTTTTATGATTCCCTTCCTTCTGTTCACCTTGCATTAATTTTCTGCTTCTTTTCTTCCTTTGTGACGTGGAATGACATCTCATTGATTTTAAATCTTTTCTTCTTTTCTAATCCAAGCATTGAAAGCTATAAATTTCCCTCTAAGCACTACTTTGCTGGATCCCATGTCTTAAAAGATCTGTTGTGTGTTCAGTACGGATCCCTTTGAAATGTCTTTAAATGTCTCATGTAACTTTTTTCTTATGGAGATATGGTGCCTAATCGCTCAATGTTTGTAACTTTTATAAGTAGCTCTTAGTTATTTTCATTTCTTCACTGTCAGAGAATATACTCTGTATTATTTTAGTCCTTTGAAATATTTTGGGGCATGTTCTATGGCCCAGTGTATGGTCCATCCTGGTAAATGCCCTCATATGCGTTTGGAAAGTCCATGAGTGCAGCATTTTTGGGTGTAGAGTTCTGTGAATGTCAGTTAAGTCAGACTGGTTGACGGCTTTATTCATATTCTCAAATTCCATACTGATTTTTTTCTCCACTTGTTCTGTTAATTAGGAGTGATGCTACAGTATACACCTGTGTTTGTGGGTTTCCCTATTTCTTTCTTGGTTTTATCAATTTTGCTTCACGCAGTTGAAGCTCTGTTACTTCATGCATGCCTATTTAGGATTGGCCTGTCCTCTTGATTGAATCGATACTTCTATCATGCGGGAAGATCCCTCTTTACCTCTGAGAAAACTCTTATGTCTTGAAGCTTCCTTTGTCTGATGTTCGTAGAGTCACATCTGCTTTTCTGCTTACTGTTGGCACAGAGTATCTTGGCCATCCTTTCGTCTTCCTCTGTCTATAGAAGGTAAGGCGTGACATCTTGATAGAGTATTTGAAGTTTAATGTAACAGAAATGTCTGATACAATCAATAATCCCAGGGATTAATAGGTTAGAATCCATTCATCTTGTCTATCCACTTTTTCCCAATTGTATTTATAACCAGATCTATCGGTTTGGTATGTTTTTTGTATTCCCATGTTTGCTACAAAGATTTCATGCAGATGTGTTCTATAGATAATGCTCCCTTCGCCAAGATACCCCTGTCCTCTTCTTGGGGACCTGTGAATATGTTATCTTACATATCAAAAGAGACTTTGCAGGTGTGATTAAGGTTTAGGACTTTGAGATGGGGAGATTAGCCTGGATTTTCTGAGTGGTCACGTTCTAATCACGTGAGTCCTTAAAAATGGGAAACCTTCCCCAGCTGTAGTCAGAGAGAGATGTGATGGTGTAAGGAAGGTCAGAAATATGTGGCACTGTGACTGACGATGGAGGAGGAGGGCCAGTCGCCAAGGAATGCCAGCCACCTCTAGAAGCTGGAAAAGGCAAGGAAACAGATTCTGCCCAGGAGCCTCCAAAAGGAACACAGCCCTGCTGACATGTTGATTTTAG